CACCTGACTCTCACCCCCTCACCTCTCAGGAAAGTTTGGGAAGATGTAGATAATGGTGAGTTGGGTGAAAATCACACAGTGCTCTACTCCCAGCAGATGTTGGGATTTTTTTACTACTTAGGAAATAACTGGGACAAACCAAGAAGCTGTTATCTCAGGCCCTGCAACGCAGGCAAAGTTTCGAAACATGCCAGAGTGATTTTATGAGACAGATCTATTTTCCTTGAGGTTTAGTGGAAAATAAAGTTAAGATTAATGCTGTCTTGGGTCAGAGAGGGTTTCCCCAAGCAAGAGTGAATTGATCCAGAACTTGCCATCATTGGCAGCAGAGCACAGAGGTTATAGCCCTGAACTAGTGTACAAATCTTCATGTGACTTTGGTGCCAGAGTAGGTTAAACAATAAGACACTCTCTTGGAGAGCTCCTTTTTAAATAATCTCCCTAACAGAGCACACTGATAGATCTCTTCCCATGTGGGTAAAAAACTCCCTGGGTGTTGGACCCCATGGCCCCTTTGTCTTCCTGGCCACTCTAATGTGCCAGGTGGCATTCCTCCCTCCAGAGAGACTCCACCCTGAATCTAAAAGTGGCCTCAAATGGTTGATGTTGCCTTTAGGTCTCTCAGAGGGAGGAACTTGGACAGTTCATTTATTACGTGATACAGGAGATTTACTGGAGACCAGAGGGCTCAACGGAAAAACGTTCTTGATTTATTTCCAATTGGAAAGGCTTGTTTGAAAGATGCATCAGCCAGTTGCTATTAGCCTCTTGAGTCATAGCAGATCCCTAATCACAGGGGCCTCTGTGTCTCGGGAGAGGTGTGCAGACACCTCGGGAGTCCTGCGTGTCTGCAGGGGTTTGCAGCGTGGCCAGTGCCATGGCCAGTGCTCTCCAGTGACCTGTAGTCCATGGCTGCTCACACCTCAGCCTTACTCTAACTTTGCAAATATTGGCAGCTATACACTGGGGAGGTTGAGAACGCATAAAAACTACTTAATGTGGGGTTAGGAGTAGTATAGCCTATTGGATAAGCCCATGGACTCTTGGTACCAGACTGCCTGGATTTGAATCCTGCCCCATCATCACTAGCTCTTGGAACATGTTTCTTCCCCTCTCTGTGCCTCCGTTTCTGTCTGGAAAGTAAAGACAATAATATTACCCCTCTCATAGAGTTGTTCTAAGGGTAAAATGAATTAGTACTTGTAAAGTGATTAGAATAGTGCCCAGCAAATCCCTAATAACTGCATAACATGTATTAGCTACGATTATTGCCATATTGTTCCTTTTGGGGTAATAATTTGTTTGCATGAGTGTTAAGAAAGCCCCTTGGAAAGCCATCACACATTATCGGGACTTGAAGGATACACAGGCCTGAAGGTTCAGTCCCTTTTAAGGTGCAAGGGACCCAGAGGGATGGAACTGGGAACACTCATGGGACAGTTGACCTGAAATGAAGCTTTGACATTTATCTTTGCAATTGCAGCTGGATGAATGCCATAGGATTAGGAGGCGGACCTTCTTCATGAGATTAAGATAAATGCACACTGTGGAACTTTCACATTGCACAGAATTCCTTCATTCACTGGGCAGCCCTTGGCGGATACCTACTGTGGGTCAGGCCCCATTTAAGCCTTGAACTCTAGGAAGGCTGAAGGATGAGTTAACCTATTTCTTCCTCTCTTGGCTGAGCAGAGCACACACAACCACACACTGCTACTTGCACACAGACATACAGACACACTCACACAACGCATGCATGTGCTGTCTATAAAGTTATGTTGACTGTGGCACAAAGGCTTTTATTCGAAAGTCTCAGCCTGAATTGGTTTCTATCGTATTTGCATATCTGTGGGCCAGATAACAAAGCGGAGCTAATTTTAATAAGACAGAAACTTCCAAGGAGCGCCAAAACACCTTCTATGTCTCAGACTTTATTTTTAACCTGGGAGTGACAGAAGCCACCTCGCTGAGCACTGACAGGCAGTTGGCCTGTCCTGCTATCTGCTGAAGGCTCCTTCCCCTATCAGCCTCGTTTCCAAGAAGCTGATTGGGAGGCTTAGTTTTCTTTTTGTAGGCTAGACAAGCAGAGCCCCACATCGCTGCCACCCCAGAAGGGCTGCCACCCACAGTGACAGTTTCCCTTTGCTAACATTGGCCTACAGAGGCCAAAGCTGAAAATGTCAGTAAAAATAAACAGTATTTCAAAACGGCCTTGTGCGCTTCCCTCCTCTGTGCTCCCTGTGTGTCATCAGCCACATGCTGTGTGACTGGTTTAAGAAGCACACACTCCATTCCACCCAGCAGGAATTAATCTCACACAAAAGCACATTTTCTCCATTTCACCTACTTCTGATGCCCTTTTAAAGCACCTCCATGCTAATGAGACAAACAAAAGAAAAGAAAACCAGTTGATATTGGCTCATGTCTTTTGAAAGCTCCACTTCTTGTTTTTTCTTCCACTATGTTCAGTCAAGAAAGAGCACACAGAAGTTTAACAGTTCTCTTAACATCTCATTTTGCACTTATCTGACACTGTTTTCTTCTGGTTGGAACCCCTTCCTGCTCAGAAAGAAGAAAGCAGTTGTTGCCTGTACAACTCAATAACACTCATCCTCTCTTTGTTCTCAAGTCACAGTAGGTTAGGTGGACCTCTCTCCTTTAGAGGGAAAACTTGCTCTAATAATACAAAAGGAACCATGGGCGAACAGCAAAGCGGTTTGGAACATGGGTTTGACATTAAACAGACCTAAGATGAAATTCTGCTTCTGCCACTTAATAGCTGAGCAACCTTGGAAAGTTGTTTGATTTTTCCGAGCTTTTTTTTTTATTACCTATAATAATATGTACATACATATATTAAATTCACCTCTTAGGGTTCTTGGAAGCTGATGCGACCCAGAACCCTAAAGATTCTAGGTCCCCAGGAACAATGCAGTAACAGGTTACCAGTACCTGGGCTACTGGCTCCGAACTGTAGAACAAAGCAACTGAGATTCTGGAACGTGACTACGGGCTTTGGACAGAAAGCCTCATTTCCTTGGTCAACTCAGTTCTCTGAGTCCCAGTTTTCTTGTTGATTAATCAATAAGCGGAACCTTCCTGACTATCTCTGGAACTGCCCATGTGAAAGTTTGAGTAAAGCCAGTTCCGTCTGAATCCAGGCCTGGCTCATATCTAACAAAGTGATACCCCGCCTGGCGCATGGTCCACGACGTGGTGGGTGGGCTCCGAGGAACCCTCGGTAAGCATCCTTAAGGAAGGACTGCCTTTGAGGCTCAAGGTAGTGCTCAGGGGGAGTTAGGCTTCACCAGGACAGTCTGAATAATTTAACCTTTCTGTGTTGGAGCTAACTCAAGTGCAGACCGGGGATAATACACTCCCAGGGGGGAAAAAAAGAGTTTTCAATGAAGGCCTTTAAGACTTTTGAGATTGTTACAGAGGATTTTTCGGCTCCTTATTGAGATTTCAGAATAATGTCTGCAGAACTCACAGAAGTCCTTACATTAAACTGCTCTTTCACCAGTGGTCAGCAGTTTGGCTTCATGTTAAATGCTGTTAACTCTTGGGAGCAAACGACAGGTCTTGATCTATCTATCAAGATGTTAAAGTATGTTTTTCAATAAATTTCAATGAGTCAATATCTGTCAAGCCTCTCCTCTCTGTCAGGTACTGTTGTGAACACTAAAAAACAGCTGTAAACCACTAATAGGCCTTTTCTTGTTCTGGAGTTTTCCTCACAAAAAGGGCAGATGGATAATAACTAAATGAATACATAAATAAATAAGTTGCTGTTGAAGGTGCCAATGCAAGGTGAGCGGAGGGAGGCGCTACAAGTTTGGTAAGAATGCTCAGGGAAGGATCTAAGGGGAGGTGATGTGGAGCTGACAAACAAGAATGTGATAATGGAGGAACATTCCAGACAGAAGGAAAGGCAGATATAAATGTTCTAAGGTGGGAAAGAGCTCAGAATGCCCAAAAGAACTGAAGGGAAGCTTTGTGTCTAGGGCAGAATGAGCTACTTAAAGGCTAGAGAGGGAGCTAGGAGCCAGATCATGTAGATCTTGTCAGCTTTGATAAGGAAATTTATTCTGGGTACAACCAGAAGCCACTGGAGGTTATAAGCAAGGGAGCAACACCACATGATTGTGGAAAAATGCTCATAATATAATATTAAGTGGGGGGGGGGGAGACTCCAAAATCTAAAACTGTATATTTAGTATCATTTTAACTAGAAACACACAAAGACATTCAGAAAACAAACTGAAAGATGATACAGCAAAATGTTTAAAGTGTTAGCTGTAGTTTCTTAGTGGTGAACTTGCTTTTCTTTCATTACTTTCCAGAATTTTGTAAGTTTTCTACAAGTTTGTATTGCTTTACTAATCAGAAATAAATCATATGCTTTTAACTTTTTTCTTTTCTTTTTTAAATTTATTCATTTACCTATTGAGAGAGATCTTGGTTGCTTCCAAATGTTGGCAAGTATGAGTAAAGCTACTATAAGCATGTGTGCATAGGTTTTTGTGAGGACATACGTTCTCACCTCCTGTGGGCAAGTACCAAGGAGTGTTATTGCTGAATCATGTAGTAAGAGAATGCTTAGTTTTGTTGTGGCTGTACCATTTTGCAATGTCGCCGGTGGTAAAAGACAAGCTAGGGGTTACTAAAACTTTTAAGAGTTTATGTGAGCAAAAATCAGTTTTGATTAGACAGCACTAAACCCAAAGTGGTTAGGCGCGCTCCCAATCATACGCTTTTAAAAACGTTGCTGGCGCAGCAATGGGTGGAGACAAAGTGAGAGTGAGGCGACTTTACTGTGTCTTATTCCAGATTCTAGAGTGTAAAGCAATGGTGCTTTGGAATGTTGGAGTAACTACTGAAGGCTCTGGCCAGTAGAGAAGTTTTATTTGGCTTTTAATGAGGCTGCTCAAAAACAATCTTCTTACCCCTTCCAAATTACTTATGCAAAAGAATCTTAACATTTCTGCTTCTCCCCACAGATTTGAATATAACCTGCCGGTACTCAGGTGTATTCCATGTGGAGAAAAATGGTCGCTACAGCATCTCGCGGACGGAGGCTCCTGACCTCTGCAAGGCTTTCAACTGCACCCTGCCCACTATGGCCCAGATGGAGGAAGCCCTGAAAGTGGGGTTTGAGACTTGCAGGTGAGAGACCGGGCCCCCTGCCCGCGGGCTGCCAAGACCTATGGGGGCCAGGCTTATCGCTGGGACGGCTCCTCCCAGACAACTGATTGGATAATTGCCTGTCGGCCCCACCTATTAATTTGGCCTAGTCAATCCGGAACCTGCATGGCAACTGAAATTTAAGGCCTTCTAAAGCCTCCTTGCGAATAGTAGCAGGGTTGCCCAGAGGAGGCCATTGAGGGTCAGCCACGGGAATCTTCCTGCCCGAAGTGCTTCCCCAAAATGCTCTCCTGGCTTTGAAGAAAACGTGCAATATTATTGTCGGAACCACAAGAAAACGTAGCCAAATAACAGTGTTTAAAATAAATAAGTGCCTGGAGTCTGGGCGCTGCAGACTTGGCATGAAGTAGATTTTTCAAACAACTCTCTCTCTCTCTGTTTGGTTTTTGATTCTCTGCTATGTTGCTTTGGTTTGAGAGGGTTAAAAAAAAAGCGGGGCATGAAAATTATTAAGACAAATCACTGGCGCTTGGGAGATGATAGGAGGGACTCAGAAAGGCCTCCCGAGAGCTCCTGTGGATATCGCGTGCTCCGTGGAGCTTCCCTCACACCCGCCTGCTGGAGGATGGTCACCGCAGGCAATGGCCTTTTTTTGTTTTATTTGGTTTGTTTCTGATGGCCCCGGGGGGAGAGGCGCACTTTAAGAGCAAGCACGGGTGACCCTGCAGTGAAGTGTATGGCTTGGTTTGTTTTCACTAGAAGCTGAGTCATCTGAGCAACGGCTAAGTTTCCATCCCAGCCCATCGCTACCCCTTCTGTGCTTTTGCAGTGTAATGTCATTAGGAACATTAAATACACCTAACCCCCATCCTTGGCGAGAGGGTGAGGCACCCACTTGATGAGCGGTAGCTGAGGCTCTTGCTGAAAAGGAAAAGGAAAATCTTCAGGTCTTAAAATATGGTAGCCACGGGTCACATGTGGTGATCTACACTGAATTAAGTGAAATTGTAACCTTGATTCGTCCATGGCACAGCCGCTCCATTTCGACTAGTGACTCCCGTATGGGACAACATCAGTTATAGACCATTTGCATCATAAAGCAAGTGCGATTGCTTAGCATTGCTCTAAAACAAACAGCAGCTGTATAAGACATCTGGATGTGTTCAGAGCTGTGTCTGTGAGAACATGAAAGGATCAGAGAAAGGGAGCTGGCTCTGGTAGCTACTCACCCTGACCTGTAGTCTACACTGAAGGAAGGCCAGTTAGCCGATTCATTGGTTCTATTTCCAAGGCTAATTGTTTAAATATCGCCCGGACTAGGTCAGTAAGAAAGTGAGTTTAGTAAGCTGAATTTTGATTGAGAAATACAGGCAAGGCATAGTTACAAAATACAGAAATCTTTTCACATGTTGATAAAAGGGAAGTTCTTACTATTTCCACCAGACAGTCATCAAGACGTAGATGCTGGGCACTTGCTTACAACCCTTATTTAACCCTCAAATGGCACCATGGTCGACTATATTGCCCCACTTAGGGATGAAGCAAGTGAAGCTGAGGGAAGTTCCACAACTTGCAATGGGCCGCATCATTTGCAGGGGGAGGAGTCCAGATTCAGGTGCTGCTTCGTCTGAGCCCAGGGCAAGATTTTAGTGACCAAGGTCCCCAGAAGGACTGAGAACAAAAGGAAGATGCAAGTATGATGCATGGATTTGCTGAGTATTTCTTTTCTCCCTGTGAACAGCCACCTACTCAGGCTGCTCACAAACATATAAACTTTAATGTCCCCAGCTCATGTACAGTGCAACACACAAAACTGGCCATCGACCTGATGTGGCAAAACTCAGGAATAACTTACTAACAGAATGTAGATTCTAGAATCTAGATTGTCAGTGTTATACAGATTTGATGCATGCAGTAAGGGTGGGATGGAGTGTAGGCTCATCAGGGAGTATTATTGGTAAAAAAAAAAAAGGAAAAGAAGAACTATGCCAAAGAAGCCTATTGTTGCCTCCATAGCTGGTATTAAGTGTTTCAAAACTCATTTCCATAATTTCACTCATAGCTATGAATCAGTTATCTGCCATAGGACAGATGGCAGAGTCTCAGGCTATGATAGAACCTTAGCAGCTACTTTCCTCTGTCTGCCCCACCCTGATTAGTAGCAATTCTCAGATATATGGTACTTACTAACATGTAATTGCCACCCTCCTCCCACCAAGCTAAGAAGTCTTTGAAGAAACCAGACTGTCAGTTTAGATGAGGAATTAGTCATGCATGCTACGATTGCAACATAGACATTAATGAGTTCTAGTGCTTCAAAATTTCAAACTCACAGCCATTTCCATGGGTCTTATAGGGCAATGCACTATTGTTGCTACTGGCAGAAGAGATTTAAAGGATTGTGCAGTTTAGCCAGCTTTGCATTTTTCAGAAACCTGCTGGATTTAGCTTCTCCCTCTCTGCCCTTCCCCGCCACCACCTTGTCCCTTGCAGATAGTATTTCCTCAGCCCACGTCTCTCTCTCCTTTTTTTTTTTTTTTTTTTGGAGGCATTTATATTCTGGAGACATTGTGTGGTGAATCTTTAGCCATCATGATGCTGATGGAAGTGGCTGGGTGTTGCATGTTTTATCTGAAATGGCCTCTAGCTCCAACATGCTCCCAGAAACACATTGGTGGGGCAGAGGGGCTTAAGTGCTTCCCTGGCTGTGTTGCTTCTGGAAAATTCCTAAGCTAAATGAGGCATTGCTATCTACTTATTCATCACTATTACTCCTATTTTAATGCTGGTCAGTTTACTTCTACTGGCAATGAAATTATGCCTGGGATGCACATGAGGCAAAGTGCTCTCGTATCTGGCATGTGAACAGGCTTCGTGTTTAGGGTAATAGAATCTGGAATGAAGGAGTCACAGGAAAAGGTGAGGCGGGGAGAGAAGTTTAGGGATGGGAAATAGGGCAGTTTTGACATTTGAGCACTGAAATGAAGAGTCACCTAGTTTTGTCAAGGTGGAGCTTGTCATTTTACGTATTTTGTCAAAAATATGGTGGTACTGGGGAACCAGAGTGAATCTCACATCATAAAGTGGTTGTTCTTTTCTTTTTGGTGACTCAGGCTTCCTTCTTGTTCATATGGACTTGACTACAACTTTTATTTGATACAGTTTTTTTTTCTTTTCATGAATCTTTTTTTTTAAAAAAACCTCTCATAGAGCCCTCCATGAAATTACTTTGTCTCGATCAGCCTTGTTGATCCTTCTCACTTCCTCTGCTGTTATTTTTGGATTTCACATAACTCAGTGGTTGAAACTTGTAATGCTCTTTGGGGCGAGCTGAATGAAGCATTGCACTGCATGACATGTCATTTGATGGGATGTGATGAAATACCCATCACAGCCCTGCAAGGGGATAACCACTGATGTTTCTTTGCAGGTACGGGTTCATAGAAGGGCACGTTGTGATCCCCCGGATCCACCCTAACTCCATCTGTGCTGCAAACAACACAGGGGTGTACATCCTCACCTCCAACACCTCCCAGTACGACACGTACTGCTACAATGCTTCAGGTTGGTCTAAGTGGATCGTCTTTGTGTGTTGGGTCACTGTGGGCAGGTAAGCCTGTGGCAGCATGGCCCAGAGTGGCTCAGTTTTGGCTTACGTGAGGCTTCATGTAGCTTCCAGATGCTCACTGACTATCCAGGGTGCATACCTGCTAAGTTGGGGAGGCCAACAGTGAACATATAAATACTTAAATACCTCATATGAAGTCAGAGGGAGACAAGAACTATAAAAAGTAAAGCAGAACAGGAGGCTTTGGGGTGCTAGGGATGCTTTCTTCTGAGAAGGTGGTCAGGGAAAGAGAAGGTTCATTGAGGAGAGAGCCCTGAACGAAATGCGGGAGAAAGTCCTGAGCAGAGTGGGTGGCCAGTGCAAAACCAGGTGTGTGGGAGCACTGTGGCCCGTTCCGGGAACAGCAAGGAGGCTGTGGCGAATGAAGCCCAGTGCTCATAGGAAAGAATGCCAGGGAATGAAGTCAGAGAGGTAGGCAGGCGCCAGATCACAAAAAGGCTCATAGGCAATGGTGGAGAGTTTGGATTTTGTTCTCAATGTGATGGGAAGTCATGGCAGGGTTTGGATAGGGGAGGGATGTGAATCTAATGATAGCATTGGGGTACAAGCCAAATGGCTTAGCTTAAAGGTGTTATTATATCTTGAGAGACAGTTAGGAGGATATATGGTAGGCCTCTGACCTTGTCGAGTGTCCCTGCTCAACAATTGAGAGTCCAGCAGCTAGGGAATAAGGAAGTCAAGTTAAGATCTGCAGGCTGGGCTGCCAACCAGGGCCCCTCCCTGGGTATGGGACTTGCTTCCAACCACTAGCCTAGAAACACATGCTTGCAAGTCTAACCCAGGCCCTAGCAAAACTAAAGGATTCTATGCATCATGAACCTTGAGAGTCTTTTGAGAAAGGTTAAGCCCATAAATGTCAATTTTTTGAATGCCAACAATAAAATGTTTTGCTTCTTAAACAGCCTTCTGTTCTGCCTAAAGTTTTGAGATTATGTGAAGGGGAAGCTAAAGCCACAAAGTAAATGTGACACATCTACCTGGCATACCAGTTTTCATTAAAGACAGGAAGGGCATCCTTCCAGTCTTTAAATGAAAGTGACTTAAGACATTGTCTGTATGAGACGAACACCGATGTTGTTATATAATGGCTTAAGACATTATTTTTATGAGACAAACACCAATATTATATGTGGTAGTAGAATATAAAATCTGCATGACTTTTAAGCTAAAGCAGGGACATCAAAGAAATAAGATTACATCAATAGCTTTGGACCATGCCACCCACCTACTGTTGCATGAACAGTGGGGACTAGAGTGAGAATTCAGAGGGGAAGACTAGAATAAAGAGAAAGAGAAATTATCAGGGCTGGTTTGTTGAAATGGAGTGACCAAAAATATATACAGGTCACTAACCCTATGGAGAGGCACTCAAAGTAAGGAGAATACTGTAGAATATTTACTCCTCCCTGTCATGGGAACAAAGAACACAAATGGAGTTTAACCAAAAGGAGGAGAGTCCCACTGAGGCTACACAGTATATGTCCCTTACCCAGGTCCCGCACTCCTACCTAGAAGGTCCATTCTAAACACATCATAATGAGAAAAACCCTTGCAAATAAACAGGAACTGAACACAGAGCCACATGTGGTATAGCTAGCTTATCTTAAGGCCAGAGCTCATGGAAGATTTGGGAGGACCATGCTTTAGATGAGGGCCTTGGTCATGTTGAAAAGAGCTAGCACCAGACAGCATACTCGAGTATCTCTGAGTGCTGCCTGCTGCACCTCCCACTGAGTTGTGTCAAATGTATGCAAGTTTTTGCATATCCACATTGTCTCGCCTGGTTTATAAGTTGCTATCACTTGCTGAAAAGAAACTTAATTTGAAAAGGTGGAAGCTCACGCTGTTTTATTGCTTGGAAATGAAGCCATCTAGGCAAGTTACTACTGAGATTTTTCTCCCTGTCCTTATTTTTGCCCATAAGGTTGGGCCTGTCCTCAGAGAAAGGAGTGAACAGTACTGATTAACTTTCCTTTTCATTTGGTGGGGGTGAGGAGGGTAGTTTAGTTGAAAAGTTTGAGAAGTCCTGGGGGGTGTATTGCATAGAAAAGTGGCTGTATTTAAGTAGTGAAGTTCAAAGTGACATTTTTCTTTTCCTTTTTTCAAAATTTACTCAATAAGGATAGGCTGCTTTTTTAAGTTTTTCTTTAAGTTTTAAAAAGTTTATTTACTTTTTACAGCTATATGAGTTCAATACTGTGTAGGGCAGAGTGGAATGAGAAAGAACCAGGGACCAAATTTCTTATCTGGGATTTAATCTTGTTGAAACAACAAAATAAAAAGTAAAGGGGCTTGAGAAAAATGTTTATTTAAGAAAAAATGAATTCTAACTGTCTTGGTTTAGAGTGAGATGATAGGGGACATTAAATAAGCTATGGATCTTGACTACCTTCTGCTCCATGTGAAGGATCTCATAGGAAATGTCCTTGAATCCAACTGAGCCTGAGAACTACCAGGAGGACCCAGTGATATGATCCCCCTATAAACTGGTTCCAGGGACGAAAGCCAGCTCCGTCTTAGCAGATAGCTTCTGTATGCTTACAATTTCAGCAATGCTTTTATAAAACACAGCCTGTGGCTTACAAATGAAAATCAGGCAGACCCTGAAAAAGCTTTGTAGTTTTTTTCTTGCTTCAGCTGTCAGCGATGGGCCCCCTGTGAGCCTGCTGACTTCTGTGTCAACTACACCCAGAGCTGACTTGAATTCGTTCATTTTTTAAATTGGCTTTGAATTAGATGCCTCATCCTTTCTTGAAGGAGAAATGTAGAGAAGATTCTACATTTATTTGTTTACTCATTTACTCATTTACTGAACAAATATTTATTGGATACCTAGAATGTACCAGGCATTGAGGAAGGTGCCTGTCTCTCTGGCACTGAGCGATTGGCTAAACTGAATAATTAACATTTCTCGTGGCTTTTTAGTGCAATAGAGGCAAGGTTTTGAGATGCAGCCCTCCAGGAATCTCACCTCGGAGTCTCTCTAACAAATCTTTAGGTTCAGGAAAAGCGCACCAGGCCTGATCCTCCCAGCAATGCTATGCTCGTTAAACAGAGTGTGAAAGCCTGTCTAATGAGGCTCTGCTATCTGACGTGGGAGCGTGAATGTATTAATTGCACATTTGGGTCACCATCCGTCTTAGTACACTTGCCAGCTTTGATGTGCTTATAAAAGAAGGTGAACTGGAGCATGAAGGGAGTCCGTTTGAACAAATGCTCTAATCATTTACAAAACTGTCTCAGTGTTTTTGACATCATGCCCCCTTCTATTACTACTTATCTCTTAGAAATTCCCAGTGGACTCTACTGTTACCCACAGTTATGTTTGAATTTGGGGGAGTTTCTTCCATTCCGCTATTAAGAAGTCTTAATCCAAGGCCTGCTTTTGGGTCTGTGCAATGTGACGATATCAGAAGCACATCACAGGTCAGGCCAGTTTCTGGTGGTATCCCCAAAGCAGACTGAGGAGATATTCTTCAAAATTTCCCAGGGTGGCTTTTTGCCCTGATTTTGAAGTGAGGGATTCATTGGAAAAATATTTGGAAAACTTTAAAAATCTAAAGAAATGTTAATTATTACTGTCTCCCATGACATTGTGAATTCCTCAAAAGTGGGCACAAGAGCATGTTTGTTTATTTTTTATTTTTTGCTCTTTTTTTAAAGTATGCGATTTGTCATACATGTTGAGTAAATGCTTAAAATGAATAATGAACCGATATATCTGGAACTCTCTTTATTTCTACAGCATTGCCATTCAGGTTTTATCTAAATGTCTTTTTGATCTGTTTATATTTGCAGGCCATTTTGAGGTGTAACTTCTTAGGTGTGTTTACTAGAAGAATGTACTTCTTTCCTTTTTCATTCATTCAACAATATTTATTGAGTACCTCCCTGTCCCCATTGCACATAAATGTTCTGGCCAAGACAGATGAGGTTCCTACTCATCTTCCGGAGCTTAAATATTTCTATGGAGGTGGGCGTGTATGGAGGTGGTGGGGGTTGGGGGATGTGCCACGACCGGCCTTGAAGTAAAATGAACAGGGTAATTTAGATAGTAGTAAGCGTGACACAGAAATGAGAGCTGGAGATGCATGATGGTGGCAGGTGGGGGTGGGGGGGTTGGGGGGGGGGACTGGTCTAGACTGGATGGTGAGAAATGGCTTTTCCAGGGAGGAGACTTTCTCTTTGGAGGGTCCCTCTTCCGCAAAATCTTTTAATCAGCCTTTGTAAGAATGGCTCTCCTAAAGTCTGCTTTTCTCTAGTTGAAATAGAAAGCTGCCATTTAGTTTCACTATGAGGCCAAAAAATAGGCAGGTCAAGAGCATCTCCTTAATCTGTGGGAAAAGATGCTCCTAGGAACTGGGAAGCAACCAAACCCTGTTTTGTTCAACTTGTGTTTTTGTCCAGTGTTTTGAGTACCTGATGGTTTATGGCAAGACACTTGGAGTACTTGTGATAATACCCTTCCTTGTAATAGCATTCTGCCTGCATCCATCTATTCATCCATCCATCCATCCCTTTCTTCCTTGCTCTTTGCCAACAAGCAGCTCTGGGAGAAACCAACCTACGAAATAAGTTGCCACTTTACATTTAGTTGTGTACATTCCTACACACAGTGTAAAAAGCTGTAATGCACAATTGGATCCATCCTTCCTATAACTCCAAAGCCAGTTTAAATCTCTTTGAGATTTTAGAGCTCAGCACAGGTCTAGGTACCGAATAGAGCAGGTGGACATGAATGAAACAGTTGGTAAAGGTATTCTGACATCTTCTTTGAGGATCCAAAGGATGGCATGCAAGGTTGGACTTCTAGGGCCTGTTTCCACAGAGTTCTACACAGTGTTTCTCAGAGGGCTGCTATTAACATCTTGGGTAATCAGGCAGGCCCAAGGTCTAGTCAGAAATCTTTATTCCCAGAGTTGGAGTGGATAATAAATGGAGGACAAAAGAAACAGAAGCCAGAGATACCCACAGTGAGATATGCCAAAATAGCAGTCTCAGGAAATATTCTGGGCGCCTAGACCAAAGATAGACAACCTCAGAAACTTCATATTGAGAAGTCAAATTAATAAAAAAATTAATACATTAACAAAAGACTGAAGACTAGTCTGTTTTTAAATATTTCTATCAAGTATATTTTGTTGGTTATTTTAATCTTTAGATTCTCATACCATTCATGTTAATAAACGATTGTATTTGTCATGTTTTTTCGTTACTTTTGTAGATTATTGGGATTGCACATGATTTTCTTACATAGTTATACATGTCTTTAAAGTTTTTTTTCAGAGTACCCAATTACTTATATACTAACAAATTAAAAAAATAAATTTCTATTGTGTGCTTCCTTAGAGAAGGACTACGTGTATCTTATTCATCATTGTACCCCCAGCCCTCTACAATGCCTGATACAGAACATATATGTATTTGTTAATGAATGAATTTGCTGGCATGGAAAGAGGAACAAGTGAGCTTCCAAAAAATGTATGAAGCTAAATAAAAATGGAGACTGCGTCTCCAAGGCCAGAGACATTCCCAGGAGACTTAACCAAGGTTCAGAAAAAGAAAATTACTTGGGACAAGTTATGATAAAACTCCATTCTAATTTACTAATAGAAATAGGTATTAATTTTGCTCATATTTTTTAGAGTTCTCATGAGTTTTTTTTCTTTTCTACCTCATAGCACCGCAGGGAGAAGATTGTACATCAGTCACAGATCTGCCCAATGCATTTGATGGACCAATTACCATAAGTATGTATCTTTTCTAACTTTGATTGGGTTTTCCTGTTCTTGGGAAAGGGATTAGGTGCAAGTTCTATGTATGACATTTGGCTAGATTAAGTCATTTCACTAAGGCTGGGCACATTGGCTATGGTTCAGTGTCCCTTCCTCTTTGCCTGTAATGGCTTAAAATGCTATCTGGTTTACCCCAATTCACTTTTCCTCAAACTTCAGTCGTTTGAAATCCACTTTCAGTGTACTTGGCACTTCTATGTACATAGCATTATTGTCGATATTTTTCATTTAATCGACCCATTCTTTTCTACCCAAAATACATTTATTTTTTTAAAAACTGAAAATGAAATACCAATATCCCTGGTCATAATTAGAAGGTAACCTTAAAAATAAATTGAAATACAGGGACAATTAAATAATGTTCTTAAATCCTGGCAGCCGAAGGTTCTGACCTGTGTTCTTTCTCATAGGGGAGGATTAACAGGTGGTAGGGTAGGAGTGTTCTGTCCCCCAGATCTTGTGTTTGATTTTACTGGAGTACTGAAAAATAATTATAAAAGGTATGATGTACTGAACTCCACAGAGGAAGCAGAGGCTCCCTCAAAACCCAAACATGCTAATTTCTTAGCTAGTAGTTGGGGTAACTTAAACTGACAAAATTTGGCCCTTAGAAAGAAAATCTAATTCTTTATGGGTTTGCCAGTCTGTCCCCTGCTGATGCTAATAGTCTCTCTGTCTCCTACTTCATATCCTTTCTGGAAATTGGTGGAATTAATAACATAAAGTTTACTTGTTCTTGAGTGGGCAGAGTAGGGAATTTACCATTTATTGAGCACAAACTATATTTTGAATACCATGCTAAGCACTTTACATACAATACTGTATCTTGCTCATAACAGATGGTAGTATTATCCCTATTTTACAAATGACAAAGCTGAAGCTCAAAGAGTTACCTACCTTGTCTAAAGCCACACAAAACTGGAACTCAAACACAGGGACTCCCAAACACACCCTTTTGTCCCATCCTCATTTCCAAGGTATGTGAGTGGGCAGGGGAGGGTACACTTTTCTCAACGCTCCGGCTACATTCCCACCTGCCCCCCAGCCACTAGAGAGGTAATTAAGTGTTGCTCTTCTCAATAAAAATGAAAAGCAACGTTGCAGTTCCTGTCTTACATGATAATTCACAGTCTTTTCTATACTCAGGGAATGTGAGCTGTCAAGTTCTAAAAGTGCCTTCTCTTTCTCCCAGCTATCGTTAACCGTGATGGCACCCGCTACACCAAGAAAGGTGAATACAGAACTAATCCTGAGGACATTGCCAACAACAGTACTGATGAGGATTTCAGCAGTGGGTTCCCCAGTGAAAGAAGCACTTCGGCAGGTTACACCATCTTCCACACCCTCCTTCCAACTGAACACTCGACCCAAGACCGAGACTATCCCTGGGTGTCGAAATACCCAGAGGATACTGCTGCTACCAGTAAGGACAATGGATCACTGTGCTTTCCGATAGTGATTCATTTGCAAAAAACATTTTCTTCTTGAGACAGGCACTCCTGGGTGGTTTGTCTCCTGTCTGGAGGTTGGTGATGTCTTTTGGGGAGGTGGGATGTGGCGGCTGTCGGTGCCCCGCATGCATTGACTGCTACTGCCAACAATTTTTTTTTTTTTAAATCTGCAACATTTTTTTTCTTTTTTATGTTTGTGAAATTTTTTCTTTTTTCTTTCTTTCTTTCTTTTTTTTTTTTTTTAATCTGCAAGGTTTTTCTTACCTTGGGATAAGAAGTGCCATATAAGAAGTTTTTTAGAACTTCCCTTATTCTCTTGTCCCAGGGATACAGTGACAATTCAAGCTTGGTACAAAAGTTGTTTTCATTTTTACATGTTTCCTTCCAGTTCTCATCCATCTCTGAATAAGACTGTTTTCATAAGTTGGGATCACAGCAGATGTATACCATTCCATCTGCTCCTTTATGTCTTACTTAACTTTATGTTTTTATATTTTAACCTGATTTATACTCATGTTATTGATTGTATAATATTCAGTCATATTCGTCACCCATGATTTACTGAAAAATTCCTTTGTTTTTGGTCCAGGGAAACATAGCTGAAGGAGTTATCTGATCAAATTAAATCTGCTTAAGAGTTTTCTAGCCTAGCCTGTAGAGGAAGGCTCTGAACACTTGCTTGGTTTGTGAGGGTAACTCAATACCTTGGTACTGTGAGAGTGGAAATATGTAAACATTGCCTTAGATTTCTATGGGTATGGGTCCCTTGTGCTTTGCTTCATGAGAAAGTGTTTACAGCTCTCTCTTGTCTCCTTCTTCACTTTTCTCTTTGTGTGTCCCCCCCCCCCCCCCCGCCGCCCGTCACCGCGTCGTGGTTTGCTTTAAAACTTGTTTCCAGATTGGCTGTGTTCCTGCTGTGGAGGATTATTCAAACTTAAATAAGGCTTGGGTCTCCTGAGCCGCTTTCCTAGTGTGGTTTAGACTTGCTCCTTTCCTGACTATGGCTCTGGAGGGGTGGGACTCCGCTCTCCAAAGTGTGTGGCAGAAATTTCCTAGTTTGTGAACACTCAAGACAGGAACCTTTTCTACCACTTGTCTCCCAGGAGCCAGGAAAACCTCCAGAGCATGATGATTTAATGTAAGGTTACTCGCTCAACCATGCTTTAAATTTCTATTGGCAGCTTGCAAATAGTGGTACAAATAGGTTTGGGGTTCTGGTCATCCTCTGCAGATTGTTTGAATGTTTCAAAAAGCAGATTCTTTCAAATTACCCGTGCTGCCCTGGATAATCGGCTCTCTGGAGCCAACTGTTTGCCACTTCATTGTTTGTAATCCCGCGGACAACCTTCCTTGAGAGAAGCTTCTGCAAACCAAGCTGGCGGTGCTGCTGGCTCCTTGTTGCGCCTCAATTTCCCCGCCCTTTAAAGGCAGCCCCGTTGAAGGTGCTCATCCTCAGGGCATTCAGTTTCGTCAGATGCTGGCAGATGGCAATTACTGGTCTCAGCAAGAAGCAGGTCAGGTCTATGCTAAAATACCATTTCCCACCAAAGAAGAAAATCCTAACAAATGCCTCTGCTAATAGTGAGTGTTTCACATGTGCTTTAAGAAAGTCAATTAGCACATTGTATGAACAAGTCATAGCACATCTTGTAAGGACTGCACTTTTCCTGCCTGTTAGTTAGCCAGCAAACACATTTTGAAGACCTACTCCGTATTAGGTCTATTCTAATGCTCAGGATCCAGTAGTCAACACCATTAGAGAGGGATAATAGAAGAGAATGAGGATTAGTAAGCCAGTCATTTGTTCAACCAATATTTGAGGTCTTCTCTGTGCCAGATGTTGCTCTAGTTCCTGAGGACTCAGAGTTGGACCTAATTCCATGGAGCTGATACACTGTTCAGAAATCAAGAAAGAAGTGTGCTATGAGATTTCACTGATACCTAGTTTAGGATTTGGGTTGAGAAATGAATCATGCTTTCCTCTTTCCAGAGCACTTAGCTAAGTGTTTTTTAGTACTTAAGGAAGAAAGAGACTCATTTGTCCACCAGAGTGAGTCCAAAGCTAATCCGAGAGTTATTGAAGTGCTGCAGGATCCAGTTAGGCCAATGGCAGCTCCAGTACATCAGTGCATACAATGAAGAGTGTCAGAAAGCAATCAGGTGTAAACTTGCAAGTAGCATATGGCCTACCAGGAAAAGTTAGCACTGATAAGTGAATAGACCGTATGTTCTAAGCCCAGTTCAAAACCTCATGACTATTGGACTGAGAGCTGGAAATTAGTGAGAGGGAGTGATTTTAAGACCTCCCTAATGCATGCAGGAGGGCAGAGGTCAAGAGGAGGGCTGGCTGAGTACCTAGAAGCACTCTTTGGCTTGGCTGGCTCATTCCTTCTTTAAGGGTCCTTAGTGGGTGGCAGTAGGGAAAAACAATAAGAACAACCATCTGGGTAGGTTTCAATTTCCAGTGAACTTTTTATTATAAGTGTTATTTTTGGAAGAGCTCTCCTGGAGACATGTCATCAGCTTCTTTTATATTGGTGATCTGGAATTCTTTGGAATCCAGAAACCTGAACGAATTCAGGAAGCAGACTCTTGTCTGGGAGCACTCTTATTTCCTTGTCTTCTGGGTGTCAAAGAAATATATATATATATCATACATACATATGCATATATAATAGCTCACTTGGGTGAGGAAAATTGGAAACTGCTGGCTAAGCAGTAGCTTTTTCCTTTTCCCCCAAATCTTTTCAGGAAGAGAGAAATAATGCCAACTTCTATATTGCTCCTGTGTGTTTACTTACTGTTCGTCTCTTCCTGGTGTACTATAGGGTAAGAGTAGCATGAATCATGCATCTTTAATAAGTTTCTAAGGTAAGAATGTCTGCGAGTATTTCAGGGAATTCTCAGGTTTATCTCGGGGCATCATTGGTGAAATTGGCTCCTATCTTGCTACTCTTTATTCTGAGCAAATGTGTTCTTTGTAGTATAGAATGTACTGTGCAGGTGGTTGACATTTGGTATGCATAGAGTCAAAGTTTTTAACCTGGAATTCATGGACTTCTGGTAGGTTCAATAATAGACCGTAAGGTGTACAAGACCACCTGAAATAATATGCAAAATTTTGAGAATGTGTACATGTAGCATCACTTTTTTTTTTTTTCAGAAAGAAGCCATAACTCAAATCAGATTTTCCAAAGGGGTGTGTGACCCAAATGGTTTTTAAAATCACAAGTGGTTTAGATGTTTATCCTTGTGATCTTTGCCATTCTTCTTCTACAGGAAAACATTTTGGACTCAGTCCAACTTGAGAGTCAAATAAGAGATCTCAAAGTGTAAAAATATAGCCAATTATCCTTCGTCTAATTTGAACAGAGTCCAGAATTTCTCTCATGTGAGAGTTTTGTTTCTTTTCTGGAAATATTGTGCACTCTGAATTAGAATGAAAAGTTACAGGAAGTGATGGATGCATACTTGAGATCTGAGACCAACATGTTGAACACATACCCTTTGCAAAGTTCTTCCTTGACATACATACAGCATAAAGCTTGACTTGAAGTTGATAAGTGTCAGTGAAGCTTTCAAATGCTAGGTGTCATTGTGAGCTACTGGATGAAATGACTGACCCAAAAGATACAGGCGAGCACCTCTAAACACACTCCAAAAATAGATGAATAAAAGCAACATTGTGAAATTCTTCATTGAAGACCTTCAGTTCATGGCTGAGTCACCCAATCAAGTTAATATAAAGTCTCTTTCCATCATTGGATATTAATTTGCTACTTGATTTTGTTCTGAGCCTGTATGCAGGGGATTCCATTTGAAGGAGGAGTAGCATTGACTTGATACCCATTTCTGATGTTATCCTAAGATCCCAGGAGACTTTAGGAGAGTGGAAAGATAAAATCAGGCCTCTCTCCTTTTCTAATCTTTACCCTGTAATAGATCCAGACATTATATATAGTCAGAGAGTAAAGGTTGTTTAGAAAGATCTCACTAAATGAATATTTTCATAATTGATTGAGTTACTTCAACTGTGCTCTCAAACAGCCATGCAGCAGCTCAGAAGCAAATTAATTGGATATGGTCCTCATTTGCTAACTCACAGCCTAAGACTTAGGATCAAACAGCAGCAATGACAGGTAAACTGTTATTTCCTTTGCTTATTTGCTGTCCCGAACGCCAGGTCGGACAGTGCTGAGGAAAAGGACACCCTTTATCATTTTCTGCTAATGCTCCATCACGACTATTGGGAGAACAGGGTTTGGTACCATCTCGTTTATCAGGGAGCCCTGCAGATATGCCTGGATACTCCTAAGTGTTTTACTTGTTTTCATTTTGGCAACATGTCAAATAATCAGAATTATTATTATTTTTTTCTGTAGGGGCTTCTCTGAAGAGAATCTTTCAAAACAAGTACTCTAGAAAGTCGGTTAGAAAATGTATACTCCTACTTTGTGCTGATTATCATAGTTAATAATAATAGAGGGACGTATTGATTTACAAGTAGAAAGCGTAGACCCTGGACACTTGTTTGGACATCTAAAACCTCAGCTGCAAAGTGTAGGAAGTGACTTGTTGTTTTATACCAGGATCCAGGCCTCTAACAAGCTCCCTGGATGTTTAACTGTTAACCCTAAGTTCCTGCAAAGTATCTTGACCTGAGAGCTTTTGTGGGAAAAGATTCAAAATCTGTAATACTGGGAGATTACAAGCATATTGTCATTTACTAACTTTTGTTGATGGAGGATATGGTCATATTTTAAAATAACTAGGTATTCTTTCTATAGAAGGAGAGTAATAAAAATGGCTCTTTACATTTGCTTAGCTTGTAAGACATTGAATACACTGTATTCTTTATTTTGACAAATGCTCAATGAGGACAAGAGTGCTGATGTTACGATTGCATATCATGGTGATTAAGATAATGCTGGAGGGAGGGAGGGATATACTATTTTTAAATGTTTGAAATGTTTATCTTCAGAGAACAAACACTGTGAAGGAAATGGCCTTGTCTGTGTTTCACCTTGGGTCATTTCTAGGCTTTCTTGACAGCTGAAAAAGGAAATCTAATTCACCTTACTTTTGTATTTGGGAAGTTAACGATGGTTTCATTGTCTCTGCTTTCACTTTTTTCATTTCATCATCTGTTATCTAATATACTTCTGATGCACATCATGGTTACAGAAATGGCAGTCTTTAACAGTTTTCATATGAAGACTCTTGCTTCTGGTCTTATTAGTGAGGTCATTGGGTCGCTTTACCTCTGTCTTTCCTGATTAATTTTCCTCTCTTTAAAAGCTGGAACTCAAAAGATCCTGCTCTGTTTTGCAAAAGTGTTAATATAAAAAGTGACCATAGGCAAGGTTGCTAGAGGATTTGGACTCTAAATGGAAAAAAAATAGAGAAGCTTTTTTTTTTTTTTTTTTTTTACATTTTTTTCATTTCAGGTGTCATTCTTCTGTGTATCTGGGATTTGTAGGGTTATGTGTCTAGAATTGCTCACAGAAATATCATATCCTAACTTTTGGAGAATGACATTGGTTGGCCAACATAGAATGTGCAGAAGATGAAGGGCCAAGACTCTGAAGAGCAGGGTGTTAGAATCAGAGACTCTCAGATTTGGAGAATATCTTAAAAGGTCTAGTTCAATCAACACGTCTAATCATTTAATCACTTACATGACTTTCCTCAGTGATCTTTCTGATGGTAGGGTATATAATCCTTTATGAAGAGGCTCATGACTGAATAGTTCAGATTGTTAACTTTTTAAATTCAACATTTGAAAGAATTGTCCTCTCCACAGGTCCCACCACAGGTCCCAACTTAGCCTTTTGGGAGCATGGACAACAATTTAATTCCTCTTTTACATTATAGTCTTTCAAAATTGAAGGACAGTTTCATGCTCCTTTTGAGGCCTCTCTGTTGGTTAACCTTCTGACTTCAGACAGGTCAAGGTCTGTCCTATACAGTTTTTCATCCTTGAGATGAGCAGCATGCATTAGATGATATTTGACATCCTTCCATCCCTGACATTCTATGAACTACAGTTTGGGCCTCTGAAAGAAATGGAACTTCTGTGCTTTTCCCCTTTCTTTCCACCATCTATATCAAGTATCGATAACTCCCTTGAGTGGAAAAAAGAATAAAAGCATATACAATGCTATTTCTAAGGAACCGATCATTAACAACAATCAATTCAATTATCCTTACAACAGCTTTGATGGGAACTAGTGGTACACCTCCCAAAACAGTACCCAAGAGGCAAGAAGTTCAGGATTGGTTTTCATGGTTGTTTCAACCATCAGAGTCCAAGAACCATTTTCACACAACAACAATAATGGCTGGTGATTAGTTATTACTCTTTCACTTCATATGTTTTCTTGACAGTCTTCAGTAATTCTCATTGACATAAAGTCCATTCTGGCCTTACAAGTGTTTGTGATGACTTTAGAAGGATCATGAGCTCTGAATCTATATGTTTGATTTCATAGCACTGTTAAGCAGATTTCTTCTTTCTACTCTATAGAATTAATATAGTCCAGGGGGAGCCTGATAAGGGGACTGTGGAAAATGGGATAGGTCTTTCTTGATGACAGAACAAAATTATGACTCTGAAAGGTATGGTAAAATGGCCAACGTCATTTGAAATTTTTGACTTCTCAAGAGAAAATACAATAGCATAGCTAGAGCTAACAAAATATAGAAAATCTCAACCAGTAGAACTATTCTTGGGATAGATACTAACAGTATGAAAAAAAAATGGTCATTCCAAAAGATAGCATGAATATGATTCAAAATGGAGGAAACCCCTTTGCAGTAAAGAGACATCTACAGTAACCGTGGAAAAAAGGTGGAGGGTTTTCTTCTTTCTTGCAATTGCTTCCCAAAGGAGAAAAGTGAGAATTTCTCCTAATCTTGGCTACAGTCCACTTTAGTCAGCCAAAGTGGCTGACTAATAAATGACAAGAATGACTTCTCTGTTGAGTAACTTTTTTTTTATTTTGCTGTATGCTGAAGTCTTGTTGGGAACTGCAGTGCAGATTTCGTTTGCATTTACAGTACAGTGATCTGATGCTAAAGAAGATAAAAAATGAATTGCAAATTATGAATACAACTATGATACTTTAGAAATGACTAACATGTGCTTAAATTCCAAGGTTTTTTAGAAGGTAGCTTGACAAAGCAAGTAGGCACATGTGAAACTTTTCTATTCTCTCCTGGATGCTCTACCTTTAATGACGTATTCTTAATAAGTTAATAAGTGTATCTAAAAGCATGAGGGAGTGTTTATTGGCCTTTTTTTCTTTTACTGTTTTGGTTGGGTTGTGTCTGTAATTATTCTTTAACTTTCTTAAAGAGACCGTTCAGTTGTAAAATCATAGCCATGTGTTTTTAGATCTATAGATTAGCTTCAGAAACCAAGATATAGGAATTTGGAGTAGGGCCTGGCTGGGTAGCTCAGTTGACGAGAGCATTGTCCTGATATGCAAAGGTTATGGGTTCGACCCCTGGTCAGGGCACATACTAGAATCAACCAATAAATGCAACAACAAATCAATGTTTCTCTTTCTTTCTCTCTCTCTCTCAAAATTAAAAAAAAATTGGGGGATATACACATCAAATATTTCACTTTTTTCTTATAATCTTGGTAATTCCATCATACACTCTGAGTCTGATTTTCTTTCTTTGTCAAATGGGTTACTTGGCATCCAACTCAGCTATTAATGCAAGTCACCACAACAGGTATGGATTCAAATATCTCAGCAGGCTGGGAGCCAATTGAAGAAAATGAAGACGAAAGAGACAAACACCCCAGTCATTCTGGATCAGGCATTGATGATGATGAAGATTTTATCTCCAGTACCAGTAAGAATAATCAATTACAGTAGAACTATACAAGGCTTATCAATCTGAGTGACACCCAACAGTATTTCTCTTGGGAAATAGTTAATATGAAAAATGAGCATAAGCCTATGATCACACCTTAGTTATACATTGATTAGATTTTAAAGGATGACATAGATTTTTTAATGGAAACCAAAACATATTTGGAGAGAAATGGGAAAAACATGTTTTGTAAAATTCCTAATGCCTCATGTTCTTCCTGTAGTCTGCTGCTACAGATTCTCTTTGAACTATCGAACTTTGTCAGGAAATGGCATAGGAGTAAAATTAACTACAAATATTCATTGTGTAGATACTGTCTAGGTGCAGGGAACACAAAGATGAAAGAAGCCAGAGCTCTTGCCTTCAAGGAGCTCATGGTCCATTATAGCAATGGACTTGAGAATGTGATTGGGAGAATATTAATTAAAAGTAGTAGACGATCCTAAACTGAAGACTTAGAAGGCCCTAGAAAGGCTTCAACAATGGGAACCAGAACTCAAGAAATGTCTTAGTTAATCAAAACCTTACTGAGGTCAAGGGAATAAATTCAGAGTTTTTATAAATTGATAACCAAAGGCATTTAGGCAAAAGACAAATATCAGCTGAGCTTTACTAAAACAATGCCAACTATTAAAAACAAATAGAAAAATCACTGCATAATAGTATCCAAACTTGTGACAATTATAAAACTTTTCAAGAACAGAGATGGAAATTAAGCTGAATAATGTCCTTTAAAAAAGGCAATGATTGGTCTAATATCCTGTCTGAAGACTGAATTTCCTATTCATACCTGTAATCATCTAAGATATTGCTGAACAGTGATGAGAATCCTGAATCTGATTCCATAACAGCTCTACTTTTCCTTAGAGAAGCTGTCACGTTGGGTTGTTACGTGAGCTCTTTTGGATCACTGAAGTTCTGTCCCTCCCAATCTGAGAGTATCTTCCTCAAATGGACAGCATCAGGGAGGGAGAGATCCAAAAAATAGCTTCGAACTTGAAGGCATCTAACTATATATAGTATTGTTAGAACAAAACCTTGATATGCACTAGATGCACTGTGTCTAAGCTCTTAAGTGGTATACATTTAAGCCTGGACACCTCAGAGCTTAGTCTATGGAATAAGGAAACTCTTTTTAATGACTTCAGAATGAAAGCCAAATAACCAAAAACACTGAAGCTCTAATATTATGCTGTCTCTGGGGTTTAGGATGTGGCCCCATCTTTCAGGTAGGGCCACCAAAAAACTGTGGTCTTAATACTTGAGAAACTAAACCCTTGGGTGGCCATCCAAACAGATCAATGTGAAAATAAATTGCATGATCACACTCCAGGAGAAAGCTTCCCTTGGTAATTTTCATCTCTGTGGCATATTTTCCAGTTTCAGTTCACTTTTCTGCTTGGCCTCTATGCACATAATTCAGCAGGATGCCCTCTTTCCTCTGTAGGGGTATAAAAGCTGCCACTTTTTTCAGGCTTATTGAAAATGTGATCAATGACACTAAACTTGATTTTCTTAACTTGTGAAATAGAGCTGATAGTTGTATAGTTCTGAAAAGAGTATTGTATTATTTGGGTATCAAAGGGAAGTTGGAAAGAATTAGGGTGGATTTGCAAATAACCTTTTCACAAAAGACATTGATTCTGATTTTTTCATGATCCTTCTGTTGGGTGCATCTCCTATTCTAGCCCTATCGTTTTTGGGTGACAGTATGCCTCTTTCTTTTCCTTGGAGATCTGCTGTGATGGTGTTTGGTTCCCTATGGTGTTTTTCTACTGAATGTATGCATCTTGTTTTTCTTTCGCCGCCTTTGAATGGCTTGCTTGTGAAGCGCTTTGTATTTGATGAGACTACTATAAGTGCTTGATAAATATTCAGAAATGTGTAGGTAAATCATATGGCTGTTATAGGTAGGTATTCTTTCTTAGAATTGCCTATAGGAAAGCTCTGGATACCCAGAGTTTTTTTTTTTTTCCTCACCAAAACTCCTAACAAAATAAAGTGATCATCATGGTATAACTTTCAGGTATGTACCTCTTTATCCTGAGGATCAACATGTAGTGTACTTGCCAGTGATACAAGATTCCTTGGGCTTTCAAGTGCAAAGGGCCATTACTGACTGCATGGATGGGCAAAGTTCTGTTGTCTTTGGTTCTCCTCGGTGGAGGGCTGGTGTTTTCAAAGCTGCTCTTCCTCCTGCTGCAGCTTCTTTGGCTGCTTCGTCCAGCAGATCTCATGTTCTAGCCCCAACGTATTCTGTGGCAGAATGCAAAGGACGCTGGGATGCTTCACCATGTGGCTGAATCAAGCTGAAGGCACTCTCTGCTTTCCTTCCATTTCCACTCAACCATCTATACGACCTGGTATAGATGATTCACTATATAGACCAAAGAAGGGGAAAAAGTGCAAAACAGGTGGTGAAGGCTCAAGAAATGCCATTTTCCTAATAACTTCAATCATCATTATCACAGTTTCAACCACACCACGGGTTTCTGACATCCCATCACAGAACCAGGATTGGAACCAGTGGAGCCCAGGCTTTTTTACTCCAGAAGTATTACTTCAGACAACCACAAGGATGACTGGTAATGGGATATGCATTCTTAACTAAAGATTTTCTTTCTTGAACTATGACGCTGCAAAGGTCAATGGTCGGGGCTCAGTGGGAAATTTGTTCATATCTCATCACAAATTCTTAGAGAACTTTCATGATGATACTCAATTCAACTTAGGGGTCATTTATCAATCACACCATCTGGGCAGAAGATATTTTATGTTGCTCTATTATGAAAATGAATACATTAAGATGGTTTATGGTGCTGCCCTTGAGAAAGTGGTTGTAGTGGAATAACAGGTCTTCGTTATGATATTCCTTGCCCATTGATTTTCTTCTTTGAGAGAGATTAGTGAAGTCACTCAAAAGTGTTGATGGTAGATGCTCTGGCATCCAACTGTTAAATATCATGTACTTTAATGGAAGAACAGAACTATCAAAGGTTGATAAAAAGTCACAGTGCATGTAACCATCATCACGACAGATGTGGACAGAAGTGGCACCAGTGATTATGGAGAAAACTGGACCCAGGAACCACAGCCTCCTCTCATTCAGCAGGAGCATCATGATGAAGAGGAAACCCAGCATTCTACACGCACAAGTAAGAAGGATGGTGGTCAGCAGTTCTGAGTTAGATGAGCTAGTGAAGTAATTCCAAAAAATAGGGAAGACTATTTTTAGACATGTCTGCATCTTCTTTTTCCACGCAGTAATTTTTCTTTATCCCCAGAGCTTGAAAAGCTGCCGAATCTGCACACAAGTTTTGGAAATTAGAAGAAAAATGCTAACTTGTCAGGTTGCCCAAAAGGCCAAAATATTTAAGAAGGAAAATTTTAAAAAGACCCAAGATAGGGTTTTATGTTAAAGATTCCTAGAAGTTCCAATTGAGTGATTTTTGTGTGTTTATGAAAATGTATAAGGAAGACTTTGCTCTCTTGGTGCTTAGCAGTGGCATCTGGAAAGAAAGCTTGACTGGTGCATTGTTCTTTGGAATCCTTCTTTTCTCTTCTTTTCTTTTTTTAAATTTTCTCCATGGAATCTTTATTTTCTATGAAGGCCTTTGATGCATCCAGTTTCTTCTTCACATTCTTTTCCTCATTGTATTGTAGAAAGACATCCCTTATCCTCTCTGGAGGAAAGTCAAAAGCTCAGATGGTCTACATTTGAGTTCTATGGCTGATCTTTTTCTGTTTTTAAGCCGAGGGTCATTTGGGGAAGGCCTTGCTGCTGTTATTTCTACTTATGTGCAAACATCTCAAGTTTTCTTAAACACTTCTAAGTCTCACTACTAGACGGTGAGGATAAGAAAAAACATAGGAAGTATATACTCTTCTTTCATCTATTTCTTGGAGAAATGCCTATCATGTTTGGAATAAAAGGAGCTTTAATTTAGGATAACAGCCTGTAGCATTTTAAAACTATGGCTCAGACACCATCTTCATAGCTGTGGATATCTCTAAAGCAAAAATGTAAGAAACATCTACTTAGAATCCAAAAGGCAAAGCCAAAGGCATTTGGTAATTCATGGTTTGAGGGATGTCTTCAGAAACAAAAGAAGCATTTCATACATTAGCTAAGACATTAGTTATTGAGCCCTAGATATTGTATTGAATACATACAACACACCTACATCTCACTGCTTACTCTGATAGATCTGCCTGCATGCGGATTATGGGCTGAGTTAAGAACAGTCTTCTGATAAAAGAGAGAAATAAGAAATAAGAATGGGATTCTATACCAGTCCTCTCCTTAGACCCAACACTATATTTTAGAAATAATTTAAGACAGTTTGTGCTTTAAAAACTGAAAGCTACTTAAGAGGCTTGGAATTAATGAGCTTATTGTCAAAAGGCAGTGGGGAGGTCATTACTGAAGGTTTGTTGAAAAACAAGACACAGCAGAACTACCAGAACCTACTAGAGGGAGAGCAGCACCAGCCTCAGTAATTCTCCTATCAGCACTCACAAAACGCGAAGAGATTCTTGTTGGTGACCCTTGGGCTTTATCAAAGGAACATTGCAACACAATAGACATGTCAGAGAGTTATGTGGCTATCTCACAGGACTGAGGAAAGGCCCTGGAGAAAATTGATAAAACCTTTAAATGTTATACAGAAATGACCCTATTTTTGAAATTTAGTACAAAACTTAAGTATGAAGTTAAAATGTCATAATTTTATTAGAAAAATTGTGCAAAAATTTGAACATGTATATTCTTGCTCTAAGAATTTTCATATAGTTATATAAATGTAAAAAGGCTTATTTTAAAAGAATGTTACATTTTCTAGAAGAGAGTCATATTTTACAGTGGAATTCCTACTCTGCTAATCCATATGTTGAAAATAATAGGGAGAGTTATAGGTATTTAAAAGGATCACATTGTTTGTAAAGATAATGACAGCAGGCATATAGAATAGTGTGTTGTGTGTGTGTGTATACACACATATGTGTGTGCATTTTCTTTTTTAAAAACTTTGAGTAAGAAGTTTATGTTTGAGTTAATTTTTCCCTTTTTGTAGTTCTGGTTTTTCTAACTTCATTACTTGTCAGAAGACAGTGATTTAGTCCTTGGGAAAGAAAACTTAAGATTTGTTTTTTTTTTTTAACTCCCACTTGATAACCCCAGGAATGTTTTGGCCAATCCTAGGGTAAAGTGAGGACAATATGTTTTATTTTAAAAATGTTTTTGCTATTATAAAATCACACGTATTTTCTAAAATAATGAAATACAACCAGTTTCACATGTTGCAAAGTCTACTTCAACTTGGCAAATTTGTAAGTCTCCTTTTATCTTGAGAACTAAAAATTTGCTACTAGTTGCCCTAGATGAAAATGTGAGTGACTTTTTCATTTTTCCCATGGGCACCCTGATACAATTTTATTCCATTCATTTTGTTCTTTTAAAAACTGGACAGCCACAGCACTCAGTGGTTGAAATTTAAACCTGTCACACATTGCTATTGTTTATATAATGCCAAACACTGGCAAAAGTAGTTTTCTTCCACTGAAGTAATTTTGTTAAAAAATGAATTTGTCACCCTAATCATGTGCTGGTGGAAGAACATCCCTGTCATTCCGAACATCCTTCTTCATTCTGGGCAAATCCATTTCTGGTGCACTTCCAGGGCCTGTGACTATGGGTCATGTGACCACCATTTCAGAAGGCCTCCTACTGGGCTATTTTGTCACCTATTACTATGTAATATATTCTTTGTAATAATGTCACATGAACAAAGAGGATAATTCTTTGAGCGATTCTCTCAGACAGGATCTATGAAGCCATAACCTTTTGAAAAATAAGAATAACAATGGGAGTTCACAGACCGTGGTATAGTTCTGACTGTGCCAATCTGCCTGTGTGACCTTGAGCAAATGAAAACTTCCTTGCACCCTAGTTTTCCTGTCTGAAAAGTTAAAGGATTGGGCCATTTGATTTCTAATATCCCTTTCAGAAGATCAGTGATCTCTCCTTGCTGCTTTCCTTTTCTACCTTTTCTACCTTTTCTCTCACATGTATATGCCCTTCAAATAGATGGATAATGTGTTGGTAAGGGAATTGAACAATAATGGCTCACCATTGAAATTCTTCTCACAGCTCTGGCAACCCCTAGTAGTGCAACAGAAGAAACATCTGCCCAGGAAGAGCAGTGGTTTACAAATGGATGGCGTGGAGAATATCTCCAAACGCCCAAAGAAGACTCTTATTCAACAGCAGGGACAGATGGTAATGGATGGTTTAACAAGCAAACTTGGGTGGCAACTTCCTCTTGGGTTAAATGTTGAACATTGAGGACACTGAACAAATAAGTTACTGAAGGAATTGTCACAAGATGTTAAGGTTCCCTAATAAATTATGGTGTGGTCAACAAAGAGCCAACCTTTAAATGCTCATAACAAATCACCTGAACAGGAATGGATATTAGCACATAAAGGAGACACAGACAATGCGCTCTTGTGTATGTCACTTTCAGATTTAGTTTGGGGCATCCCCTGGTGAGATCGCACCCGAGATTCTGATCTTATAAAATACCCCCTTTCGTTTTATAAAGGAATCTACTCTATGATGTGGGTCTGCACTTTACAGATGGTTCTATAAAATACTGGGCTTGTTAGAAAGCATTTGATTGGAACTCCAATGTTTGAAGAAATGGAGCCAGACATTTTGAGAAAAATACCTGTCTGATGTCATTTGGCCCTTATTAGTGTCTGTTTGGAAATTTCTCCTTGAATGTACAAGGTTTTCTTCTTAGATTTACAAAAAATACACCTTTTCTATTCTTGAATTGTGGGATTGTAGAAATCGGCCTCAAGTCTTGTCACATCTCTAAGCTCACTTTTATCTAAGCCAGATAACTTCACTCTGCAAACTCCTGTGCATGATTCTTTTGCCTGTGAGACAGAAACATTGAAATACACTCTGGCTTGTAAAAGAATGTGAATTCCTTTTAAGAATGATATTCTCATTTAGCGTCAGTGAGAAATATCCCCATGTTTCCATTTGCAATATGGAATATAATGCATAATGTCCTTCCAGTATGTGGCAACTTCTGAATTCTTTCTTGGCAGAGCGACGGAGTCAGTGACTGGCTATGTGTTGTGGTTGGTTGTTGCTAAGGGGCTACTATTGTAATCTTTTCTACCTATACCTCTTCATTGGCACAGAATGGAGCAAAAGCATGTGCTGCATTCTTACATGTTATTTATACTATAAATCTCACTGTTAGAAGGTAATACTTCTAATGGATTCTATCCATGCCTTTGAGGTGAATGGCATTTACTTTCACGTTTATCTCATGAGAAGCTGTTACCTGATCCCTTCTCTAAATTTACTACTGTCGTAATGTGCATTTCTCTGGGATGTGGTTGTCTCAGAATGACATCATGTGCTTGGGCTCTTATACTTCCTTCTTTTAGAGGTGGTGGCAGCATGGTCAAGAACTACTCCTTCATCTTCACTTGATGTCTGTAACTCATCTTCTATCCACTGGAGAAGTCATTAATGATTTTGTGTCCTCCAGTTCAGATCCTGATTGCTAAGAAAATGAGCATGAATGAACGCATTCCTGCTAAACCACTCTGTTTATGCAGATTCCTGGCTCTCAATGCCAGGAAAATGTTTTTATTGTTTTGTCTAGATAAAAAAAAGTATTTAAAAAATTCAGTGTATCCGTGGCAGATATCAACTAACACTTTGACAATTGTTTGAACTGCATGATCACAACAGCCTCAGCTCATGACAGCCATACAAATCAAGAAATGACAACGCAGAGTCAAGAGGACAGCTCCTGGCCTTATTTCTTGGACCCTATCTCACATCCAATGGGACGAGGTCATCAAACAGAAAGAAGAATGGGTAATAGCCTCTAAGCCTTTTTTATGTTATGTTTTTGAAAACTGCCAAATGGCTGTTGTCCTAGAAATAGGCCTTTGGTTTTAGACCAGTCTGCTTTCTTAAGAAGGAAATGGAATTTTCTTCAAAAATTTACTTTCTTGGTAGAAGTGATATGCCCATTTATCTAAATGTAAGGTCCTTAGCTGAGAGTGAAGAATTTGGCAGAAGAGTTAAAATAGAATTAGTCCTAAAATGATGGGAGTGGAAGTCATTTCCTCTGGAGGAGGAGCAGTCTCAAGATTTCTTTCTCACTTACTCCTAAGTGCAAGGTTTTTAAAAAGTGAAGTGATGGATTCAGTGATGATTTCCATTGTAGACCCAAAAATAAAACTGTCTTTGGTAGAGAAATCTTAGAGGGCAAAAAATTGCTGAGTGCTCATTCTGAACAAATAACTAAAAAACTCAGAAAATTATTATTGACTCTTGCCACATTTAAAGATAGATACAGTATCCAGTGACCTAAGATTTAGATCACTCTTGGCCCTCCATAGATGTTTGTGAATTTCATAAGTGGACAACTTTTGCACAGAATGCAATCTCTGTTTTCTTCAACTACATTCTTATTTACCTATAGGCTATTCAAAAACAGAATTAAATGAGAGAGAAAGAGAGTAAAAAAGATAATAGTTGTAGTTCTGTAAGAATGGAGGATTGTGATTTTATTTGAACAGTTTTTATATTTAAAAAGAATCCTTCTTTATCAGAACAGATAACAACTTCTCTTAGAGAATCTGCAAGAGTTGGTGGTAGGTGATGTCCCTCTTTTCTTAGTCCTTATTAAGTTGAAGAATCCAGGTTTCTTACCATACACATGAATAGTTTTCAAGTTTTGTTTTGTTATTTAACAAGGTATCTTGGTCACAGAAATGTAACATTCCAAAAAGGGAGATAAACCAAAGAACCAATATGGGGATGTGAATTATTGCTGATGGCATTGAATAATCAAGATCCTAACCGCAAAGAGTATGCATGGCATGAACATTATTAAAATGAGTTCCAAGAGCACAATGACCATATCTCTTGGCAGTGAATTTAAACAGTTATCTCCGAAATGAACCCAAAAGTTTTTATGATTTCATATCTTTAGAGCCCCGTAACTATGTCATTCCCAAATATTCCCAAATATTAATGATACGATATCACCAGGTATGAGCGATTAGAAACTATATTGGCATTGAATATCTGCTAATGTGCAAGGCATGTGGAGACAAAACAATGTACAATTTGTGGCCCATGCTCTTAAGGAACTTAAAATTTAACTAGATAAAAGAAACATTTAACATCAAAATATATCTAACAATATGAGACAGCAAGTCACAGATGTCAAATGAACGTTGCCAACAATAACACCAAAGAAATTCAGAGGATTCTCCAGAAAGTGTCAGAGAAAGGAAGCCAGGAAAAGTTTTTGTAGGAAGAAGACGCACACAAGGAGAGGCATATAGGAAGGAAAGCCAAGGAATGAATTTGTTAGCATGAACAAAGTTGTTGGTCAGAAAGGAAGATGAGTTTGAATGGCTAGGTTGTGGCCATCATGGCTACAGCTGAAGTTACACGCAGACCAGCATGTGTTTATGCACGTGGCTGCTGGAGGCTCTGATGATATGCACTGTAGAAAACCAAGCCAGTAAAATAATTTCAGAATTAGTATTGACTTCCTGCTGATGAACAGAAAGAGATTGTTAAATTGATGAACATGTCAAGGACAATGAAATTAGTTCAAAGTGTAGAATGGTGTGATACCTCATGAAGGATTCTATTTATTAGAGGGAAGATAAACAAGGGTGTCTAGAGACCACCAACAGGCATGACTTTTTCTGGAAGAACATCCATTTCGGGTTTGGATTTGGGCTAGCTAGCCTGTTCTCGTTTTTCAGTCTGGGATAATGGAGTCAGCCATGTTTGTTTGTTTGTTTTTTCTGGGCAAAGATCTTGAGTTTCCTTTCTTTTTGTATGGAAAGACTGCAGTGTAGGTGGGGGTGCCTAATATTCCAGTTTTTCCTGCTCGAGTCATCTGGAACTACTTAAATCTCTCTAGAGGCAGCAGTGTGGGTGGACTTTGAATTGGAGAGCCAACAATAATGATGGTGTTTATGGGTCATTTGGCCTTCACTCAGGACTTGTTATTTCAACAGAACTGATTTGCGATAATTATTTTAAAAGCATTTGTAAATATTTCAGTGAAATTTCTTACCAGTCAACATTGCACATGTCAATTTCCAAAGACACCGCACATTTGTGTTTACAGGATGACTAATTCACTGACACCCACTGTGCTTATTTTATGCCCCTGAATACTTCCCATGGCTTCTACCTAGGTAGTATTGGGTGATGAGTGTATGTTTTATTTGCATGTTCACTTTGTGAAGTGGAAGAGGATCAAATGAAGGAAAGAGGCTATAAAAAACGTTCTTTTGCCAAGTAAGGTCGATATGGCAAAATGGTCCCTAAACCAGGGCGCTTTATCCTTTCTCTGTGTGGCAGATCCCATGTGTCTATAAGAAAAGGAATGTGTACAGAATGGGACAAGTCACACAAGGTTTGTGTGTTTTTCTCTGCAAAGTTTGGGAGGCCCATCATGTGCCCATTTAGAGTCCTTTGAGACAGCAAAATTAAACAAAAATTGTTGCTTTTATACAACTCAAACCCTTAAATGAAAGCCAGTTACTTTTTGTGATATTCTTTTGAAGAAACCATAATGTATTCCAATTCTGGAGACATCACTAAGTATGTGCTTTCTTTCCTTTTATCCAAGTTTGAAATATAAGAATAATTTAGCTCTGGATCATATAGCACCCTGAAGTAGTGGTTTAGGAGATCAAACAATAACACTAATTTAATTCCTTCAGATATGGACTCCAGACATAGTACAACACTTCAGCCTCCTGCAGATCCAAACACAGGTTTGGTAGAAGACTTGGACAGGACAGAATCTCTTTCAATGACAACCCGTAAGGATAATGACACCCAGTCCTTTTTAAGACCTGTGTTTCTGCTTCAGCTCTTGCTTACACTGGCCCCTATGCAGAGCTTGGTGGCGGAATGGTGCATTTAGTGCTTTGTGGCTCGTCTCAGCCCAGAGCATAAAAGCTCTCTTCATTTTTATATTTTCTTGGTGAAATTCTTTAACTGTGATTTTTCCTTCATTCTTGGTGCTTTCCAGATTCAATTACTTTATGTTTAAAAAAAAATGGATGTGGGGCTCTATGCACCTTGATTTTCCTTCCCTAATTAGTTATGGCATTGTCACCCAAGCCCATGGTTAGGACAGTGATCTCTGTATGTTTTAACTGACCTACCCTTTTGGATTCCCATCTTTTCTCCAAGGCAGAAGAGGGGTAGGATTGTTTTACTGGTTGTGCAAAGACAATTTGGGGACAGATAATGATAGAAAATAGGGAAATCACACTAGCCTATGTAAGAGGGGCAAGGCATGTTGTTGACAATTGACAAAGGTGGCAGGGCACATGCACAAAAGAACATTTGCTAATACCTCTTCCTATCACTAAACATCTGGTAGAAGCAATGTTAAGCTTCTAGTAGCCTTAATTTCCATTGTGTACATAGGGCTCTCCTAGACATCAGCCTAAAGTCATTCATAATCTCTTGACAGACGGGGAAAGAAACCCAGAATTAAGAGGCCTCATTTCACTGCTTGCTGCACATAATGGACAGAGCCTCTTTAGGCAAAGGAAAAAATCAGCAAGCACTTGTTGATCATTAGAAATGTAAATAGCACAGGGTTAAGCATTAAAGGAGACACAGATGGGCCAAAAAATGGTCCCTGCCAATGGTCTTGTGTTTTCACTTTATGTTCCTGTTGACTTTTGTTCTAATGTTCAGTTGGGATTTAGGAGATGTCTCTCTCCTGGTTGTCATGCTTACTTGGTGGTGGACGTGGCTTATGGATGTGCTTTACGGAGTGCTTGCACCTGTAACTCAGAGGTCAGTACTTTTCTGAGAAAAACACAAAGGAAATGAACTCCAAATATTCAAAGAAAAATCAAAGATGGGCAATGGCTCAACCTCTAATTGCATACAGTACAGCGAGGGCACTGTATTTGCCCAGGCAAGCGTTCCCTGGCGTCTCAATGTGATGATGAGAATCCCTGTCCACAGATGAGATCAAAAACCTAATAATAGAATAAAATGGTAACTTTAATTTAATGTTCTTTAGGATGAACTAAAGTATTTCCTTTTATAAATTGGATCTGAGTTACTTGAGCAAGTTATTCTAGATGAATTTCTTCCTCTTTGGTGGTTACAGGAATACTACATGCAATCACGGTGTTTATTCTCCTGACAGTCATGCTTCTTGACACACAGCTAGGTGCTCTTGATTGTTGATAGGAACCCTGGGACTCAAACATTTCTTTTTCTCTATCTCTATGTCCTCTGGTTTTTCTCAGTGACTGGTAGCAATGTTATTGTACAATTCAGTAAGGATGATCCAAGATAGACCAAGTTTTGCCTCAGACTTTACGTTGGCACCCTATCTTTGTTGATTATACTGAAATATCAACAAAGGGCCGTAAGAGCCAACTACGGACAAAACAGAGCTCTATTGTACATTTTCATCAAAGAAGAATGGCATGCACAAATTCTGGAATTCTTATGCCTCTACCTGTCTGACTCTATATAGCTAGATCCTTCCTGCCAGCAGATAGCAGGATTTGTTGCAGGGCTCCAAATTAATGCTGGATTCATCCTTCGTTGACACAGAGCAGAGTCATACTCAGAGCTTCTCTACATCACATGGAGTCTTGGAAGAAGATAAAGACCAGCCAATAACTTCTACTCCAACATCTAGCAGTAAGGATTGTAAAGCCCGCATGGCTTCAGCTGCGGGTGTCTTTGCTCAGTGTCTTTGGTGGAGGTACATTCATTGTTGTTAGTGCTGTTACTTCTGATCAGAAGGTGTGCTGGTGATGGGTCTCTGAGTTTTCTGCTTTGTAGACTTTTTAGAAGCCATTGTACATTAAATGTCACTATGTTTCTTAATCTTAAAGGTCAGGTTTCTTAAATTCTAGAGTTAGATTGCTTACCTATGATTTATAATGGACTTATATTGCTTGCTATGTTTCTTGCATTAGTAATATTATTTTGTCATTTATACTCTGGACCATAAATTCATGGTGCTGGTGTGTAAGAAACAGTGCCCTCTGACAAAGGAAAAAATAAAACCTCAGCTCTTTGAAGCCTTGCATTGGCTATTCCAATCACAGACAGCATAATTTTACCTTCTAGTTCAATGATATGTGTCCTCCACTTCATCAAAGGTGGGCCTAATTGAGTAAGAGCTCAAGATTATCAATGTCACAGTTGTAGTGGCATAAAACTTACCTTAATAACCTAGGCAGATATTACAACAAATGTCTGGGTATTAGAGTCACCAGAACCTCTTCTGCTGAGTAATGTCCAGATGGTGTCAATTGCAAAATATAGATTCTGTGGAATAGTGTAACAAATCACACTATCTTTTGCTCTGCATTCGTACATTACAAGTGGAAAACTTTTGCAGCAACTGCACATTCTTAACACACACACAATGATGGGTGGTGGTCTTATTGTACAGATTACCATTGATTCTACCTCACACAGCTAGGAATGATGGCAGAGGTGGAAGAAGAGTTGGAAATCTTCCTGAAGACTCAGCTACCTCAGTGGAAGGTTATCCTACTCATTCCCCAGACACAAAGGAATTCACAACCCTACTCCCAGTGACCCCTGCTAACACAGGGGCCCCTACAGTTAATGAAGTTACTGCTGTTGGAGACTCCAACGTTCAGGTTGATCTGTCCTTGTCAGGTAATTGGGCCATTCGCTATCTGGTTTGCTTTCTTTATGTCAAAAAATAACACATACGTTTGTGTTACAGGGGACATTTTCTGTGCAGGCTATTATTAGACTGATCTGTGACGTGGGATGGTTTTTGTTGTGCTATCATTCTAGTACAAGTAAACTTAGATTTATCGTAGATAAAGAATGCTTTCATTTGACAATGTAATTTTTACTTATTTTTGTGACTTGGTTGTTATGGTAGAATTTCTTTGTCTTGTTATTGATCTTGTGATATATTAAGTTGATACATAGGAAGTTGATATTTTTGTAGGTCAAAGAAGTTAAATATTAGCTATTTTATTTGATTCAACTAATAGCATGCTGCCTATTTATTAGGGTTTTACCCACCATGTGAATAATTTCCATATACTAATATCTTTGTTCGGAAATTATGATGTCCTGTTGGTGATGAATTGGTGAATTTTACTTTTGGCGAAGGCCTGTAGATAAGCCTCTCCTAGTTGTGCTGCACAGTTAAAATTTTATGATTTAATTTACTATTAATAAATAGACACCATTTCTCTTGTGATAACAGCAAAGAGGTAGCTGAAGATGACTTAAGTTGGACATAGACCTAGAATGAGACTTTTTTTTTTTCCCAAATAAACAGTCCCTACTTTTGCTCTTTTTTGTTTCTCCATTTGTGTTAAAAAACTAACATTGTAAAAAATGGAACTAGAAAATACCTACTCTGGCTAAGAAACTAAAATCATATTCTCTCTTCCTGGTGCCAACTATTTGAGTACCCGCTACCACTCAACTACTAAGACCTATTAAAGATTAGTGATTTTAAGTATACAGTTGTCCCCTCCCTTTACCTATGGTTCTGCTCTCCACAGTTTCAGTTACCTGTGGCCAATTATGGTCTGAAAATATTAAATGGAAAATTCTAGAAATAAATAATTTAGAAGTTTTAAATTGTTCGCTATTCATAGTAGCTTGATGGAGTCTCATACTGTTCCCCTCTGTCCTCGCCAGGGTTGTGAATTATCCCTTGTCCAGTGTATCCATGCTATTCATGCTACCCACCCCTTGGTCACTTTGTAACCATCTTGGTTATCAGTTTGACTGTCATGGGATCCCAATGCTTGTGTTCAAGTAATACTTATTCTACTCACTAATGCCCCATTCACATAACTTCTATTATAGTATATGTTGTAATGGTTCTATTTTATTATTAGTTATTTTTGTTAATTTCTTACTGTGCCTAATTTATAAATTAAACTTTATCATAGATTTGTATGTACAGGGAAAAAATAGCACATTTGCTACAAAAAAAATATAGCAGTCTCTCCTTATCCACTGGGGATATGTTCCAAGACCCCCAGTGGATGAGGGAAAACCACAGATAGCACTGAACCCTATATGTGCACAGTTCTTTCCCTCCCTTCCCCAAAGAAGAATAAAGCTTATGAGAACACAGTACACAGAACAGATGACATCTGTGAGGCTCTGACTGAGGTGAGGACAGAAAGCCCAGACTGCCGCACATGTCTCTTTACTCTGGGCTGTCCGTCCAGGCTCCAGGGAAAACAGTCTTAGTTCTGACCTTGGCAATACTGGCCAGACAGAACCCATCACACCCTTTGGTTCTTTATTCAGCATGGTTCTGTCCTCTGTTATTAAAAATTCTACATATTGTTGTCAGTATTCATTTTTCTGTAGATACATATCTTAAGAGCACTGCTTAAATTCACTTGGCAAAATAAGGCCTGTCATGCAACCCAATGAATTTAAAGTTTAAATGGCAATTTTAATACTTACAGTAGCTTAAAAGGATTACAGAAACCCTTTGTTAGCAAATAAGATGCTCTCTCCAAAATTCATATCCACATACTCTCATTTCTTCTACATTCCATGGTGGTACCAACCAATTTTCCATGGTTCTCCATGGATTACATGCTCAGTAAGTGATCCGACTCTTATTTTTGTTTTTTTTCCCCAAAACATTCAGATAATGGTTCATTTCTTCCAAAACATTTTTCTCGGTATTTATGCTTGATCTTAAAAATTAAAACATTTGGAATCATGATGATGGTGGTGGTGGTGATGCCGATGGTGGTTTGGTGGTATTGGTGCTGGCATTTCAGCAAATGCTGTTTTTCGTTATTTTAACCATCAGCCAATGAACAAAACAATCTGTCTCCTCTGTACAATTACATGAGAGATAATAGGCCACCTATCTCCACCTTATGGGAAATGGTGGTGATCAGACTATGGTATATTCCTTATAGGTACCTTCATAATAGGTGAGTATAGCCATTTTATGAAGCCATTGTCTTGTTTTGTTTTGTTTTAAAATTTCAGTATAGTTTGAAAAATGTACATGAGAGAGGGAGAAAAGCAAGAGTTTCCATGTGCTAAATCCCAGATCTGACATGTGGATCCAGAGTTTGGCAATTCCTGAACTTGTCGCATTTTAAAGCCTGTTGGTGATGGATGTTTGAGAAGATGGATTATATTAACTTTTGGTGTTGAAAATGCATATTTCAGTTTTGAAAAGTATTTCTACTTGACACACATTCTAATTAGTTACATGTTAGCTATCATTTCCCAATTTCTTTTTCACTTTTCAGACTTTTTTTTAACCAAGCAGTTGGCTTTTCTCTTTGAATCTTTACATAATTCAACCCCAAGATCTTTTATTGCACACCAAAACCTTTTTTCTATGTCCTGCCTCAGAGAACTTTCTTTAAATGTCTCATCCCCTGAGCCACAGAGTACACCCATTCCTAGTTATCACATTTGTCTTAATTGAAAGCATATAATGCCTACTTCAAAGACATAGTACCAGATCCCAACTTCAGACCTGTGAAGACATCATGATATTTCTGTTTGCATGTTACAGTTATTGGGTTTCTACCAAAGCCATACTCCTGTCATCATCCTTGATGGTCTGTACTGAAGCACTCTCCTTAATTTTGATGCAAGCTCGAGCCCAGTCATCAGTGGATTAAGAAATGAGCAGCAATTAATATTGTGAACCCATTCAAGGCTCCTTTGCCATTGTTTTGCTTCCCTTTAAAAGACTAAGCTTTGTGATGATAGCAAAGTACATGAAAATGCAAATGTGAGGAAATGCAGGTGGCAGTGTAATGGGAACACACAGCACTGAACCTTCTCTGTTTGCTCCTTACAGAAGATCAAGACTCATCCACTGACTACAATGGGAGGCACACCACTCACAGATCTGAATCAGATGGTAAGTTTGAGCTGCTTTAGTTATTTACTGTCATCATCATCGAACCTGCTGATTATTAGTGAAGTATGAGTCAGTGCTTCCGGAAAAGGGTTTCTCAAACTTTCTTAGCATGCATCACAATCATGGGGAGGGCTTATTAAATCACATTGCTGGGCTCCATGCTTAAAGTTTCTGATTCTCTATGTCAGGGGTGGAGCCTGAGCATTATACTTTTAATAAGTTCCCTAGTGATGCTGATAATGCTAAAACAAGGGCTGTACTCTGAGAACTACCACTTTGGAGGAAATTCTTCCCTTTGAGAGGATCAAGGAGAATCCAAGCAAGGCCTCACTTCAACATTGGACTATACCAGAGTGATTAAAAACAGGGGTCTTGGAATAAGAGTGGCTTGGGTTTGATTCCAGCTCCTCCAAATACAAACTGAGGACGTTGCTTAAAGGATATAAGACTCGATTTCCTAATCAATGAAGTTGGGATAATAATAATTGTCACAGTGTATTAGGTTGGACCATATCAAACAGTAGGTCAATCATCAAATATGAAATTAAACAGCTTTCATATCTTTCACTTATTATTAACTCATTTAATCATCCTTCATATCTTGCTACCTACCTAAGTACTGTTATTACCCTAATATTAGAGAGGATGGTAAGGCTCAGGGAAGCTAAGTAACTTAGCTGAGGGGTAACTTAGTGAGTTGAGTGGTGGAGCGCCATTTCAAACCCAAAGGTTTCATATCGCCTCTCATGAGCACAGCCTGAGAAGGCACTCTGGAATGACCATAATTACTCACATCTCACTCCCGGAAACATTACTCCAGGCAGCGAAAGTCTGATATGAAGCAGGTGTCCTTGCAACCACTAACGCTGGGGCTGTGCTCGTCGTGCTGTCTTACTGAGGTGTCCCTGAGCATCATGAGTCCAGGTGGCCCCACACAAGCCAGGTCATCATTATGAACCATTGTCCTCCCCTTCGTGCTTCCATTGGAAGTAGGGTTGCCTCTAGGGTTAAATGTTCACACACTTAAAGCAAAATGATTATGGATATTCACATGGTAGTTTTGGTAATAACAATTTACATAAGAGGACAGGGGCGTGGAAGCTCATTAGAAATGCTTCTAAAATAAGAACAGAAATCCCAGGTTCTCTGGGGACCTGGCTGGGGCATTGAGCCTTACCCAACTTCCATTTATTCACTTGAAAAAAGGGATCAGAACCCTGGCCTGAGTTACCCCTAGAGTTCTTGTGAAGACCGTGAGGTAACAGGGATTTGAAAGTATTTTGGAAATGATAGGGAGCTGATACTAAAAGGCAATGCTCTCTAAAATCAGGAGACCCCCAGTTACTCCAAGGGTGGTCCTTGGACCAGCAGCAGAGACATCACCTAGGAGATGGTTGGAAATGCAGAATCTTCAGCCATCCTAGACTTCCTGAATTAAGATCCTCCCCCTCCACTAAGTAGCTTGTATACATATTAAGGCTTGAGAATCACTATCGTAGACCTAGACCGCTTTTCTCACAGTTAAAGCCAGTCAAATTATCTCTGTGCACGCGTCTCAGATTGGATCTCATCTCCCAGCTGCAGTATCAAGTGTTCCTCTTTGCAGAACTTGCTTTCCCCGCCAGCCTTACCCAGCTACATTTGCAGGCCTCTAAGGGCGCAAGGCAAGACCTGCTCTATCTCTTCCATCTTCTTGGCTTTTGCTTGAAGTGAGAACCAAGTGGGTGGGAGTGGTCTCTTTTGTTTGTCTCTTGTGCAGGTGTCTGTTATTCAAACAGGAGGCTTCATCTGGCTGTACACACACCCAGATCTTTCCTTGCTGGGAGCACTTCTTTTGGAAAATAGAAATAAAGAGATTATGATGCATGAATGGCCTCCCTTTCAAATATCAAAGGCTGTTGTGAGTCAGGGAAAGACCAGTGAGAATGACTACATCTGAGGTAATTTTGAAGGCCAAAGATCTTCAATTTAAATGGCCAATATCCCATGACCAGTGCAGGTGACCATCTGCCAATGACCAAGGACTCTGGTCGACAGATAAAGTATGTTGGATATCTTCTGAGGTGTGTTCAAGAAAAGGCCGCTGTCAAAACGGTGTAGAGTATGTCGAAATGGCTAGACATATGGTAAAACTTGAGTTTAATGAAAACGTCAAATTGTGTCAAGAGCCACCCTACCCAATTAACCACCCTAATCAAGACTTCACTGTCTACTGTGCATAGTCAGAAATTTGACTCTCTTTGGAGAGCTTTACATGTAAGGCCCAGCCACTTTTGTTCACTGGTTACCCAGACTTCCCTGTTTTTGTTTTTGTTTTTTCCTTCCCTTGCAGACCTGTGGGATTCTGCCATGGGGTTCCTTTTATCAGGGAAAATAGAGTTCATTTTAGTGGGATATTTTCAGTTTTTGTTTGGAAGCAGTGAAGGAAGCATATAAAAACACAAAGAAAACACAGAGCTTTCATTTGGATGAGTCTCTTCACCAGCCTTTTGTTCTGACTTGTGGATCCTTTGTGTTGCAACGCTTCCTTTCAGTCCAGAGACTTTGTTTGTTTCCTTATTTTGTTTTGTAGCAGAGGAAAATATTCATTCTTCAAAAACAAAGCAAGTTTCAATAATATAGTAGCAGGATTCAATAACAGATTGGCCTGATCAAACTGAACTTTTCCGAGATCTCTTTCTTACCACACTTTGTAAGTGCCTGTGGCTGGAATGTATAAATAGCTTTGCAGTAATGTGAAGGCTGGCCCCGTGCACTGCTCTGTAAGCCTGGTTATGCATGATTTTTTCATAGATAGAAGGGGCCGTGGCCCCCCAAACCCTTATTTTATATTTATGTTCACTTTTATGATGACATAGGATGTGATTTTTAGATTTGCTTTGGCCTTTCTGGAGCACATGAATCCCTTAGGGATCTTATTAAAATGAAGAATCTGATTCGCTAGGGCTGGGGTGTGGCCTGAGATTCTGCGTGCCTGGCATTCTCCCACGTGGGGTCCATGCGACGACATTTTGAGTAGCAAGGTCTGAAATTAAAAATAGAAAATAAGTACACATGGTTTTCAGTCTTATGTACATCTTTAAGCCTCTGTAAAATTATGATAAAGTAGATTCTAGTATCACCCCAATTAAGAGTGAGCAAACTGAGACTTCAAGAGAGTCACTTGAGCCAGCACAGGTTACTAACAAGTAGCAGAAACAAGACTTGAATCCAGGGCTGTCCTACTCTAGAGCCCAAGGGCTTAAACATTTCACAACACTGCTGCTCTGAAGTCTCATGTTCTTGATGACAAATAACATTTTCAAACCTTAGTTTGAATCAAACCAAACTTTTCTGGGGAGATCTCTTTCTTGTAGCGCCTTATAAATGTCTGTAGCTGGGATGTTTAAGTACTCTTTGCAGGACGCAGAAGCTGGCCCTGTCTGCCACTCTGTAAGCCTGGTTATACATCCCAAACTTTGGTTGAGAGATGTTGTTTTTCTCCTTAGGACACTCCAGTGGGAGCCAAGAAGGTAGAGGCAACACAGCCTCTGGTCCTATAAGGAAACCTCAAATTCCAGGTGAGTTTTGAGCTTTGGGGGGAGAAATGATGCTAAAAGCAGGTCTCTCTGAACGTCCCAGAAAGGAAGAAGCAACGGGTTTGAAAGTGCGGTCTCCTAAATGTCCAATCTTTGAAACTGTTTGTTCCTCTTTGCAAGCTAAAGACAAAGGAGAGCAAAAGAGAGGAAAAGATGGAACATTTTTTTCCCCCTGGGATCCATAGATTGGCTGAGCCCATATTCACACTTTTCCCTCACCTGTCCCAAGGCAGTGCTGTGTTAGTTCCTAAAGCTTCCTCTTCAAAGGAGTGATCACCCTGGGGACTCCAGGTCACACCCAGGTCCTGCTTGTCCCAATTCAGTTTCCCCTTCATGTCCAGGGTTGGGGAAGACACATGCAACATTCTTCTCGCATTGCACACAGTGTGTTGAGTGGAATGAAAACATCCTTCTGGTCCCCAGACTACTTTTTCTCAAGGGACTGCCTTCACTGCTCCAGACAGAAGACAGTTTCAGAATATGTTACATGTGCAATGAGGGCACTGAGACAGCTGGCTCTCTTCTTTATTTGACTTTGGCTCAAAATTCACCATTTGTAAAAGGGGGATTACAAAAAAGGAAGGGTTTCCTTTGGGTTGCAAAGTACCCTTTTAACTCTCGCTCTTCAGAGTTCTCCAAACTGAGCCTCCCATGGGGAAGGGAAGGATGTGGCATGTGCCTGCCCCCCCGCCTCAGCGGGCCTGGGCACCACTGCAGGCAGAGCACATGGCGAGGGAGCGCGCTGCCTGGAGGACAGGGTGGGTGCGGCGTAATTTGCTATAATCAGGCAGCAGGATTCTTCCCAGGCTGGGTGAGTGGGAATGTGGGGCATCTCAGAGCTGGAGACCCAGGACAGGACAGAAACGGCTCTCTCCTATTGGCTTTCCACCTCCTGACTCACATAACCAGGCAGAGGTCAGGCAAAGGCAGCACTGAGCAGGGAATCAGAGAAGAATTGGGACACCCAGAGATGAATGGGCAGTGAATGACTATCCATCTTTCTTGTTTCCCAGGCTCTAGTTCATTGCACAGATACACAGGCCACTTGGCAACTGAAGTTATTCAAGTTGTCAAGTCATATCTTAATATGTTAAAGCTTGATTAACAAACATGTAAATAGCATTTTATTAGTCCATGAGTGATGCATTAATTATTGCAGACATTTTAGAAAATGCAGCTAAAAAAAGGACAAAACTATAGATCACCTATTATCTATCTCACCATCCAGAAATACTGTGGTTACTATTTTCATACATGTAATTTATATGTCATTTATCAATATAATTTATATACAAAAACATAATTGCTATTTAGCAAACTACCATTCTCACCTGGCTGGTCACAGCTTTCTAATATCATTAAATATTCTTCCTCTGTATTATAGTATGTAATACAATGAATGTACTCTAATTTATTCAATCAAGTCCATATTGCTGGACATTAGGTTGTTTTCAACTTTTTTTATTATAAATAGTTCAGCAATAAACATCTTCATAGCTAATTCTAAGGTCCTATACATTCCTGGAAGTGTAACTGCTGGATCAAAAGCATGTGCATTTTGAAGGCTTTTGATGAATTTTGCCAAATGACCCCCTAGCAAACACTGTTATATAGGAAAGGAATCTTCCTTTCAATGGAAGAATACACTTCTTTCAGTTTACTTAGTAATTGCACCAACGGCACCTACAAGTCTCAACAGGTCGTTCTACATTTTTTTGGGAACATGTTTCTTCTGAAGAGACAGAGATTCTGATGGTAAGAGATTAAAACAAGAGGCTAGTGGGACAAACACCTATAGCAAAATTGCTTTTCCAGTGTTATTTGCCTACTGGCTGGGCCATTTGTTTAGATTCCTCTGTAGTGCTGACTGTGGTTCTTGGTTGGACCAGGTCTAATTTATAAAGTGCATGTTTTGTTTTCACAAAACATAGTTTCCAATTTCATGGGTGTCTTTTGCTTTGCTCGTACCAGAATGGCTGATCATCTTGGCATCCCTCTTGGCCCTGGCTTTGATTCTTGCAGTTTGCATCGCGGTCAACAGTCGAAGAAGGTAAGGGGGTGCTCCTCAGAGACTTTGACTCGGGAAGGACATCATTTAACTTAGGCTCTATGTACTTGCTGCTCAGAGGGCAACCCTTGGAACCAGGAGCCTCAGCACCCTGGGGGCTTGTTAGAAATGCAGGATCTCAGGCTCCACTCAGACCTTCTGTATCAGATTCTATTTGGACAAGGTCTCAGAGATTCATGTACATGGTACAGTTTAAGAAGCCCTGCTCTGGCATGTTCTTTGGAAAAGAGACACTGTAATTATCTGGACCACCACTTTTGAATAGTGGTTGAATTTCTTGGGGATCTTCATTATTTTGGAGTTAAAGCCCATCGAAACTTTATCTGATGAATTATGAACTATCACACCAGAAAGGCATAAAAGTGTATGCTCATTTATTGATTTATTAAATATATATTTATTAAGTGCATTCGCAATACACAAAAACACCATATAAAGATTCCTGGATTGGTCATCCCCTGTCTATGGCCCATGGAGCTTTCTAGAACCCTTACCTAAAACAGGCATTGAGTTTGTGTGTTTGTTTTGTTTTTTGTTTATTTGTTTATTGTCTGTAAGGACACTATTTTCTGTTTTCTGGAAGTGGCTGTTGAAAGGATAGTACCCCCCTACCTCAATCAAGGCCTGTTGTTTTGGAAGGCCTGTGTATTTAAACAACACATATACCTGGTTGAGCTGTGAGCAGGCTCCAGAACTAATGCCACCTGGAGTGAAATAAAGGAAAACAGTCATTCTAGCAGAAGAGGAAATGAACCTTGACTGGGGTGCTCCACAAATACTAGTCTAAATCTCTTGCTTAAGATGCTTCTAAGATGTGTTATTTTTCTCTGAGCATTTGCTTTGGAACATTAAACCTTTTGTAAGTGTCTCTTGAGATATCTCTTAAAAGGTAAAAAAATCTTATTTCCAAGTGGAGGCACCTTCACTGTGTCACTAGATCATCTAACAGGCCAGAAAGTACCCCTAGGTTTGGGAGAAGACCTGGAAAAAATGATAGAATCTCTCTCACTGGCTTCTGGAAAACAACAAATACCCAATTCCATTGCTGTGTGCAGCCCATGCAGCATTGCCAATTATCTGAGGAAATTAAATAAGGCTGTCTCACACGGGTACATGTTAATAAAAGGGCTCTATTACAATCCAATAGCTATGCTGCTATCTGTATGTGTGAGGGCATAATAAAAATAATTATTCATGATAGCTGACTGTATAAGGAATAAAAACTAGGGAATAAAGCCTGAAAGCCCCTCCTAGTTGTCTTCTATGACTAAATGGAAAGGGATTTTTTTAAGTTAAATTTAAATAATGCAACTTGAAGTAAGGACCCCTTCCAAAGGATCTTTATACTTCCCCTTGGCTTCCTTATTTTCTCTTAGGTTACTTTTGCTCAATTAACAATGAATTTTCAATTGTTGGAAATCAGTCCGTTTGCCCCAGGCCCTAGAATATACTGCCTCTGTTCACATACACAGTCCATGAGTTCTGCACATGCCACCATAGAAACAGTGGTTCCTGATGCTGTCGACACGGGGGAGACCTTAGAGAAGCATCGCAGCTGTTCCCGAGAGCCGCAGGAGTCCATGCAGTGTGGCTGCTTAGCTCCCACATCGCTACCCACCATGTCAGCAGTGAAAACAGGTCCTGTTACTGTGCCCCCTTCCCAAGACCAGCAGTCACCCTAGCAACAGGCAAATGGGGACACACGAGGTCCAGCACAGGCAGTATCTCACCAGCAAAGGAGCTGCTTGGATGCTATAAATTACTGTGTCCTGATCTGATCGTCGAAAACAGTTTTGCTAGGCAGCTGAAGGGTGGTTGTGGCTTTGCAGGCTCCTTCATGTGTACTTGGGTTGCTAAAGTCAGCAGCCTTTTTCTCATCCTCTTAAAGGCTGGGGCCTTTCTGCTTTGAGTGCTGCATGATAGAGAGATGCAGAATCTGATGTTCATCAAATAAAGTTTGGTTGAAAGTAGGGACATACAAGAGGCATTTGTGTATCTGAGAAACATCTTTTGAGGGGCCGCTATGACTGTCAGCCCTGGGGAAGAGGAAGAGAAGATTAAAAAACAAAGAGAACCATCCTTTCCCTAAAAGAATCTTGAGGTTCCATGGCAACATTGGTTGGATTTAAGTCACCTAATATTTATGGAGAACATACTCTGTGCCAGGCCCTGATATATGAATTATGGTTAAAAGGTAAAAGTGAAAAAGCATTTGTCATTGAAGGTGACATTCAAGGATTGACCACAGGATTCTATGACAATGTCATCTGAGAGTGGCATCACCTGAAATATGCTGATTTAGGAGTCCTGTGGTTTCCTTAGCTTTTTCCATCCCTGTCATAACTCACATCACCTTTTTTTGCTGTGCTTTATGTAACCAGAGTCCTTGAATTGCAACTTGCCAATGAAAATTCACTGTCCTTAAGAGCAAACAATGGTTTCAGGAGTCCATTGTACTGGTAGATAGATATTCAATGAGGCCCAAGAGAAGAAGTTAAGTGCATTTTCCTTCAAGTATTTATCTGATTTGTATGAAGAGGAGAAAAAAGTGGGAGGGCCTGACCAGAAAACGCTTCACAAAGCAGAAATGGTGAAAGAATGTTTCTACACTGCTTGTGTAGAAATGGCCTTCACCAGTTTCCCTCTCATAGAAATAAGCATCTTTTCTGTAAACCCCAGTGGACAGTCATCCACCCTCTGCTTGGCAGGTGCCCTCTTTAACCTCTAGGATTTAGAATGTCTGCCTCCTCTTAAGCTGCAGTCTAGTTCGCCATGATCTGTGCTCACCCCGCCTCTTTCTGTCCTCTAGAACAGAGCTGTCCAGTAGAACTTTCCGCGGTGGCAGAAAGGTTCGACACCTGTCCTGTCCCATACACAGCCACAAGTCACGGGTGGCTACTGAGCACTCCAAATGTGGCAACTTTGACTTCCGTGAATTTTAAATTTTATTTTATTTTAATTAGTTTAAATTTAAATAGCCATATGTGGCTAGTGGTGACTGTATTGAATGGCCTGGCTCTAACACAAAGCAAAAAAAACCCTCTAAATATTTTTAAGGATTGCCAGGTAGAAGAGCTATAAGATTCATTGTTAAGTTACCCACTGTCACCCCTTCCCCCAAGTCTTTCAAGCGAAATTCTGTTGTGCCCTAAGTGCGTTACCTGGTTTCCATACTCCATGGAGCCTGCCAACCCTCTCCTGGCAAGGCTCCAGCCTGGATCCTTCCATATTGTGTGGTCACCATGCTCAGCTAATGCTTGAGATTTAAGGGCAAGGGATAAAAAGGCAAGATGCAGTTCGGTGGAGACCTCTGACCTTTGGATTCAGAGGATCTAAGTCATAGACACAATGTCGGCCCTGCCTTTGCTAGTGGTGCAGTGTCGGATGGTAGCCTTGACTTCTTGGACTCAGTCTCCAGTTAACATAAGGACAAAGTTGAGCTGGATGATCTCTGAAGTCCCTTCAGTGTTAATGGCCCTTTTAGCATCTCTCTAATTCAGAAGGATGAAAAAAATAGGGCATGTCTTTTAAAAGTACTTATTTAAATGTCTGGAGCACCACACATTGGACTGAGTTATTTAAGAGAATTGTCCTGCTCTCCTGAAAGAACTCAGGCAGGTAACAGAGACACATAAATCCAAAGGGAAGTGTGGGCAGGACAAAGCCAAGTGCCACATTGCTAAGCCCCACAGGTCAAATGTCACCCACCTTCCCAATCAGCTTTGTTTATGTCAGTAGCATCAATCCTCACTTCGCCCCCATGCACAAGCTTTTTTATGCTTATTAATCACTTTCTTGCAATATTTCATTGAACTTCTCAAGTAAATGGGGGATTACGTTAACAAGACACCTTTCTTCCAAAGAACACCCAAAATACTACCCAAGAATTTAAAATAACATGAGCAGCATTCTGTCTTCGGCCTTTTAAGTCATCTTCATAGTAAATGTGACAAGGTGGTGGAGGCAGCTGAAGATACAAGCAAAACCCATTATATGTGGTGCTTGTTATATTCACAATTACAGCCAGTGATTCTTGAGCATTTACTGTGTTCCAGATACTGTTCTAAGTGCTTATCCAAGGCTTTGGTTTCCTTACCCCACACTGTTCATAAAAGCAACAAATAAAACAATAATAAACTCATGAATGCAGCACCAGGCTCTGTTCTTAGGGCTTTCTACAGTCTTGTGAAAGGGGTACTGTAAATAGCCTGAGATTCCAGATAAGCAAGCTGAGGTTCAGAGAGCGTGAGTGAGTTGTCCCAGGTCACACAGCAGCAAGGTCTCAAAACCAGGCCTCCCAAGCCCTTGTTCTTGTCTATGTGGACTGCATCTGCACTCATAGGCCCACGGCTCTGCAGCCAGGTCAAGCATTCTTCCCTCTGCCCTCAACAAGCATCCTGCCAGAGGAGACAGGATCTAACACCTGTTGAGGAGGTATAATTTCTATTTCCCCAAACAAGAGATTAAAGTTTATGGCCTTGGCAATCCTAGCAGGAATGGCCCACGGTCATGAATAATAGAAGCCTTGTCTCTACAACTCCAAATACCCAGCGGCAAAGTGAACAATTCCGACTTCATACTGTTTGCAAATCTCCAGATGGTTGGCAGCATGAATAGAGCTGGGCAGAGTCCAGGCTTTTGGTCATAAAGGTCCGGAGTTGAATGCTAACTCTCTGTTTTACTAGATGTATGACCTCAAGTTAGTTATTAAACCTCCCTGGGCCTCAGTTTCCACTGATGGGAAAAACAGCTGCCTTGTGGGATTATTGTGAGGATTACATGAAATTACATGTAAAGTGCCTGTCATACAGGAGGTGTCCTGAGCTTGTGGTTGTCACTAGGCAGGTGGGGTGGTAGTTGTGAGGCTCTGCAATTTTGCTTCCGAGAAACACAATCTGACTTCTAGATGTGTAGCAGTGATCATGTTACAGGAAAGAGGAAGCATTGCATCAGGCTGCATGGGGGGAGGCAGTGCTTTGACAGTGTACCAGGGGTAAGACTAAGGTCATGCTCTTCCATGGAAGATCTTCTGCATTTAAATCTTAAGAAATATTACTGAGAAGCCTTAAGGTAACAGGAACATCACTAAGAAACCTTAAAGTAACTGAACTATTTGCCTTGTGTAGTTAGTTCAGCCTCCTATAAGCAGGGTTATATGGAAAGGTAACCCAATGTTAGGGAAAAATCAATACGGCCTTATATTATACTTCTAGAAAAATGGTGTTGCATTCTCCTCAGTACATGCAGTAATAACCCCGGAAAGGCCAACAGAGTGTTGACTGTGAGAGAAAGTAATGGGATTTTCTTGAATACACATACCAGAATGATTTACAGTCATCGTGTTGGTTTATCTGAGCCTGCAGAAATTGCTAAAGCACTAAGAAGAGGCAAACATTCCCATCGCATAGTATGGTCAAAGGAGAATTGGAACTTGGGAGTCAGACACTCCAGGAGTTGAGTTCTGATTCTTTTATTACTTGCTGAGTAACCTGGGGCAAGGAACTGCATTTTCGGATCTCCAAGGTTTCTTTACCCATCATAGCCTTGGCTTTTCGAGATGTGTGACCCCTGGTTCTGTACCTCGAGTGGGCATCAGAAGCCCCTTGGAGGCTCATTAAACCATAGATCCTGGGCCCCATTCCTAGAATTCCCTGATTCAATACATCTGGGGTGGAGCCGAGAATTTGCATTTCTAACAAGCTCACAGCTGATGCTTTTACTTCTGGTGTAGGGGACCTCACTTTCAACAGTCCAATAAGATGAAACATACATGCTAAGATTGTTATAAACCGTAGTGTTAATGACTGTGATGATGACAATTGAATCATTCCACCCTTTTCACACATGATCTTTAAATTATTAGGTGTGGGCAGAAGAAAAAGCTGGTGATCAACAATGGGAATGGAGCTGTGGAGGACAGAAAGCCAAGTGGACTTAACGGGGAGGCCAGCAAGTCTCAGGAGATGGTGCATTTGGTGAACAAAGAGTCGTCAGAGACCACAGACCAGTTTACAACGACCAATGAGACGCAGACCTTGCAGAATGAGGATGTGAAGATTGGGGCGTAATACCTACACCATGACCTGGGATAGAGATCACACATAACCTTTACAGGGAGCTGGGACACTCACAGATGCAATGTGCTACTGAATATTTCATTGGGGTTCTTTTTTTTTTTTTTAGCATAAAATTTTCTACTCCTTTTTGTTTATTGTGCTTTGTTTTTTGAAGTCAATCCAATTTATAAAAACAGCATTGCTTTCTGAAATGAGGGCCCAATTAACAATCAGCAAGAATTTGACTGTTTCAGTTCCCACCTCGAAGCTTCTCACTCCCTGGGGTGTGCTATGGATGGCTTCTAACAAAAGCCAGAAATATGTTTTTCCCATCCCCAACCATCCCTCCACCCCATCTCCCAGGTGACAGCCACATGCTAAGGATATCCCCGGAGATAAGAGGGACTGGTTCCTGGGGGGACATCTGAATGGGTCCATATTGCCTCTCCAGGGGCCCAATCCCTAGGCCCTGCTTTCCAGTGGAGTAGGGGATCGGGGTGTACTGGTTACACGTGCCCTTCTACGGACCCCCTGGAAATTTCTCATTTGCTTCAGAGAATGCCCAAAGGGTGAAGCTATTTATCTGTAGTAAGCTATTTATCTGTGTTTTTTGAAATATTAAACCCTGGAGGTCCTTTGATTAGTATGATTCTTTTTGTTTCTTTGTCAGAGGCATAAAGGGTTTTAAGCTGATTCATAATAAACATCTGTACTTCTTCCACTTTTACCCTTGGTGCTGTGATCCTTCAGTTTCTTAACCAGCCAGGTCCGGGCCTGCACAGCTCATCGCAAACCTGTGAGAAGGTCTCCTTGAAACACTTCATCTCAGAGCAGAGTCCCGGCTCAGGCTCCCTCAGCCAATCTCACAGAAGATCAGGGACGACAGCACTGTTTTATTTCTGAGGACTCAAAGGCTTTCTGTTTTGTCCTAGAACCAGAACTGGGAGAGCAGGAGCTTCAGCAGCTTTGATGTTTTAATGGCCACCCATGTGCTCCCCTGAAAGACTGTGAGAAGTCACATTACATCTGCGTGACTTACCGTGGCTGTGGCCCATTTCATGGACACTGACCCTATTAGTGATGTCCAAAAAACAATATGGAAGTGCCTTTTGACCTCTTGAAATCAAAGGAGAAATAGTGGGAATGAAAGAGAGCATAGACAGTAGCCAGCTGATTGGCACAGATTAGGGAAGTCGGGGGAGGGAACTGTGTAGATGTCGCTTGAGTATTTTTATGGCTTGGTTTGTTTATACTTTAACATTCCAGTTGTCTGTCCCCAATGAAGTTGCTATTCAGAAAGTTAAGTGCCTGGAGAATCTCTCAAAAGTTTACAAGGTTTCCCACCATTGGAATCCTATCACCAGATACTAGGTTTAATAAGAGATTAATGACTTTATCCTTTGCATGGCAAGTCCTCTGTGGTCTTTATTCCTAAAATCAGAAGGCCCCATTTATCCTGGAACTTCCAAAGTCTACTTGCAGTAGAAGAGATTGGAGCTATAGAGTAAGGGCTCCTATAAAATGGGACCTCATTCCTTAGACCCCCATACAAAGTTATCTGTTGCTTAAACTAACATGCCCAACTAGAAAAATTTCTCAAACAAAAGAAAAAGAACCGGAAGGAAGAGGAGGAGGAGGAAGAGGAGAAGGAAGAGGAAAGGGAGGAGAAGGAAGAAGAGGAAGATGAAGAAAAAGGGGAGAATAGAAAGGAGGAGGAGGACGAAGAGGAAAGGGAGGAGAAAGGGGAAGAGAAGAGAAAGGAGAGGAGAAGGGAAAGGGGAGGAAAGGAGGAGGAAGAGGAAAAGAGGAGGTAGGGGAGGAGATGGAGGAGGTAGGGGAGGAGAAAAAGGACAAAGCTCCTACATAAATTAGGGCTGGGCTTACACAAAGAGCTGATTCTGAAGATGCTTAAAAGAGAGACGCCCACTTTCTGCATTCATTTCCAACCTCTCCCATCCACGTTCACATCCCCTCCCTGCCATGATCTTTGAAAACCCCTTTCTCTTCTTCCATCTGGTTTTCATTTTATTTTCAAGTTGAAAGAAAAGAAAGTGGACATGTGGTCTCTCTGTTGTTACTGCCATTAGTGTCTAAATGCCTTCTGCTTCCAAGGCCTTTCCTGGCTCTTTCACCTGAATGCCACAAGCCACTGTAGGATCAGGTTAAAAAGGGCTACTGCAGGCCTCCACCTGTCCCCAGATTCTCTTTAGGGCTGTAGATAGTCATATAAGTCATATCTAGGGATGGTTTTCCACCCCTTCTAGACATTCCCAACAAATAGGCTGAGAGAGGAGCCTTTTATTCAAATTTATTTGGGAATTAAATATGATCTTTCCTTTTATTACTGTTGTATCCCCCCATTTGGATATGCCTCCGTGTTCTTGAATGGGACTGGGGGAACTCTAGAGCTTCCATCCCGTGGAGGCACTCCACCTGCAGTATTGTCTGAAGTTCATGGACCAGGATGCACTCTCCCCCCCTTGACATAATGGTGTAACTCTGGACGCACAGCTTGACTACACATCATTCCAACCAGCAACTTGCCAGGTGACCTTAGCTAAGTCATTAAACTGGGTCTTGTTTGTATTAGTAAGGGGCCAGCATTTCATTATTTTGCAAAGCTTAAGAGAGCAGAGATGAGAGCTCTCCAAAGCTAAGAGCTTAAAATGTAACCTGTCTTACAGTCATAAATCCTTCATGTCTCCTGAGGGCTTCCATTTAATTGGCATTGGGTGTAAAACATAAGAGGACAAAAGACACCTTCCTATCTATATCCTTCAGATTTTAGCCTGCAGAATAGATTTTGCCAGCAAAGCCTCTCAAAAAGTTTTACATAGAGACCACAACACCAAGGGTCAGTTTCGTAGCTAATGTTGATTCAATTCTGGTACAGTAGGAGTAGGAGAAAGGAAACCTCCCACTTCAATAAAAGAGTAAAATGTACTTAAGAACAAAAATAACGTGATTCATTCACCTTTATATCATCATTATGCCTTTTGTAAATCACTTCGAGTGTTCAAAGAAGAGTTTGTTGTTCGCACGTGTATGATGACCATTGTTACTTTGATTTTTCACAGCATGCCCTCCCTCTGATTTTTGTGTATTTACTGATGGGCCAGTAATAATAAGGAAAGCAAAATATGTATATTGCCCAGTAAAGCACTTATTGGAAAATATTAAAAGGTTACTATTGGAAAGTTAAAGAAAATGGACTCAGGAGTCTCTGATTTAAGGGGTGCGGGAGCCTGGGAGGGGCTGAACTGGGATTATCTGACTATCTGGGTAATTTAGCAGCACAGGTTAAAGGTGTAGGAGATGGCTGAAGCTTCACACTCACATTATTTTTTCTAAAAAGGAAAAACTTCGTGGATTTCTATCACTCGAGTGCCTTCTTTTGGAGAAAGTCGAATTTTCCATAGAAAGTGTATGGTCCACATATTTCAAACAAAATGAGTTATTGTGAAGTGTTAGTTCTTTAAAGCCAAGAACTACTCCTATACTTCCAGGTTAAGAGAGGAAAGTGCACATACCTCCCTTTCCTCATACAAGACTCAAAAGACAATAAGAGGTATTCCAAAAAGGCATAAACTAATAGGGCCAAAGAGAATGGAAGAAGAGACAACAGTAACACAAATTTGAAGCTGGAAAGTGACAGTTCATTTTTTTATCGGCTGAGTATATTAGGAAAAGCTGAAGCTTAAGTCAGAAATGGGGAAAGTTGAAAAGCAAGCAGATTTGTGTAGCAAAATCCCCCAAAGAGTCAGGAATTGGTGGCATCAACCTCTGGATGTGGTAGAGAAGGTGGGACTAAAATTAGGAGGATGGATTTGAAGTCTACTTATGAGACAGAGTTAGAAACCCAGACCTCCTTCCCCACTCTAAGTAGCTGTGTGACTGTTCTGTACCAATTCCAGCAAATGACTGAAAGTTTATCCTCTGAAGAGGGCAAAATAAAGAGTCTCTGGCTGAAGGGCAGGCAACAAGGCAACACACAGTTGACACTAGAAATACCATACTGAAAAATGAAGCCATACATGAGGAATGTCAGGGCTGCATTGCCTTCTCTCCCAGCTTGGCCCCCAGTATGTCAACAACTAAGCATGGGTCCTCCGGGCAGAAGTTCAGTTTTTCTGGGGAATCTGTTAGTCCTAAGAGAAAACCATAAAGACACTGACACAATCGTTCCCCAAAGAAATGCCAAGCATAGCAATCTACAGTGAAATTCCCCTCTCAAGACTCACCAGGACCACACAGGACTCAGCTTTCTGTTGCTCGCTCTTACACATGAGAAGCTGACGTGATGCACCGAGAAGAAGCCTTAAAAAAAAAAAAAAAATCATTAATAACCTCAGTAAGGTAAGAGGAGATATTGTATCTATGACATGAGAACATGATGCTGGGGTAAAAATCATTCAGAGAACACCTTATAAGGGAGATTTTTAACATTTAAACATGAAAGCACAGATTTAAAAGTAAACTGAATAGGAGGTTTAGAAAATGCAGTTGAAGACTTGTCCCAGAAAATGGAGCAAAGACAAAGTAATGGAAATAGAGGAGAAAAAATAAGAAAAGTGGAGACTCATTCCAGGAAATCTAATATGCAAATAATAGGAGTTGCAGAAAGAGGAAATGAAAGAAAGGAATCATCCACAAAATAAATCAAAATGATTTCTCAGAACTGAAGAACATGAATATCTAGGCAGGAAGAACCAAGTGAGTGCTCAGCGCAATAGATGAAAACAGATCCATACTAAAGCACATTATTTTAAGAATTCATAACAATTGAGGCAAAGAGATTATTCTGTAACCTCTAGGGAGAAAAAAGTGATAATATAGAAGATCAAGAATCAAAAAAGAATCAGACTTTCCAAAGCCACATTGAAGACCATGAAACAGTGCCTTCAAAATTCTGAGAGAGGTATTTCCAAGCTAGAACTCAAATTTAGCTAAACCAAACTAAGTGAAAGGGTAGAATGAAGACATTTCAAATATGCATTGTCTTCAAACCTGCTCACCCATTCTCAGGCAACTCCTTAAGGATGTATTCCAACAAAACAAGGGAGTGACTACGAAAGAGGAAGCCATGAGATTCAGAAAACAAAGTAAAAGGAATTCCTAAAATGATGATAAAAGGAGACATTGAAAAGAAAGCTGTACAGTAGATCTAGGGAACAATCAGCCCAAATTGGAGTACAGACTAAAAAGTGAAACAATAAATCCCTTGGCTTCAATGACCTCTAATAAAAAAGAAAACTACTTTTTGGTTATATCAGTTAACTCTTGATGCATTAAAAACCACTCCAAAATGCAATAGCCTAACACAACACATGTTTGTTATTTTTCACCTATTGACTGGGTGCCTCTGCTGATCAGGGCAGGACTCAGTGGAGCATGGCTGCACTCACACAGGGGTCTGTGGTTATCAAACAGGTCCACTAGAATCTATGATGGCTTCATCTGGGATAGCTAGGTGAGTGATGTCTGTGTGTCCCTCACATGTCTTCAGCTTCCTCAACCAAACCTGGAAGGGATCCAAATAATGGCAGATGCTCACAAGGCTTCTTGAAGGGTAGGTCAGAACTAGCACTATAGCGTATACTGTTGGCCAAACAAGTCACAAGAGCAGCCCAGATATAAAGGATGAGAAATATATTCTACCTCTTAATGGGAGGCACTACAGAGTCACATGGCAAAAGTGTGACTACAAGGAGGCCAGTGACCAGGGCCATGAGTGCCTTCAGTGTACAACAGATGCGTTGTAAGATTCTTGTGCTCGAGGACACCTCTTATGTTTATGCATAATAAATGCACACCATTTGGCCCTATTAGCAATAGCATTAATTTAGAAAACCATAAACAGCTTTATAAATTCCATATTTATTGGAAAAGGAAGAAGCAGAATCTTGTGTTAATATATGTCTTCAAGATTACCTGGTCTAGTAGAAAGAGCATGAGCTTTGGAATTAGACAATCCTAGGTTTTAATACTGACACTAACACTGAACTGTGCGACCCTGCTCACACATCTGAACTACTTTGAGTCTTAGTTTTCACATCTGTAAAAGAGAGACAATAAAATCTTCATAAGGTCACTATGAGGATTAAATGAGGTCATAACTTCACAGCAATGCCTGGCATATATCAGGTTCTCAAAAAGATTAATTCCCAGAGGAATATTAATTTATCTCCTCCAAACACACAGTAGGTACTAAACCTCTCCCTTCACCATCCCTTCCAATTTCCTGACCTCTAACCAGCTTTTAAGTATGTGTTACTATTAACATAGGGTACCAGGGACCAGAATATTTCAGAATCCAAGGCTCTTTATAAGGGAAACCATTTGATCTTAACAGAGATGTTGTTTGCTTTCAAAGCAAGACTGAAAAGACTCATGTCCAGGAAGCAGATCAGCTGGCATCCCTTGATGCAATCTTGGCCATTCAAGTTGTGGCTGCAGATTCACCAAAGTTGGGACTCCACCCACACTTTGATCAGAATCTCAAGAAAATTGTCTCATGTCACGTCTATGTGATCTGAGCCCATTTCCCCACCTCATGCCACCTCTTTACCTTGTCCCTACATGTCATTGAAGCAGGTCTTACTCTGCCATTTCATTAATTTGCCCATGGCCCTGTCTCTTCAATGAGACAAGCAAGCCTCTTGAGGGCAAGTTTTGGCTCTGTATCTCCAACACACAATTAAAGGCCAAGATTAATAATCGCCTCAAAAGTTACCATCTACTGAGAGGTCTTACAGATGCCTGCATTTACATAGCTTTGAATCTTTCCTCCTTGTAGGGAAGGAGAATTCTTATCCCATTTTTAACAGGTAAGGTGCCTAGGGGTACAAAGAAGTTAATTATGGTACCCAAGCTGCACAAGTAAGGAGTGGTAGCTGGATTGGAGCTCAGCTCTTTCCTAAGTCTTGGAATTAATGTGCTTCATTGCCTATTGTCAGAAGCTTGGTAATTTGAATTTGTTGAAGTGGAGAGATGTTTCTAAATGCTGCACACCAGACCAGCATGCTCTCACTCTCTGTGCCTGGTGGGGCCAAAGGAGGCTCCTTCCAGATACCACAGGAAGGGTTTGGGGGTGAGTAAGCGAAGATACACTCACTATTTAAGGCCATATTGGTGATAGAATTAATTTAGGAAACTGTAAACAACTTCATAGATGCTATGTTTATTCAAAAGAGAAGGAGCAGGTCATGAACAAATGAGATTTTTTGCCCAGGGCAAAGGATCAGGGGAGCAGGAAGTCTGGCTAAACCATATTCCTCTACCAATAACCAGCACCCCAGCCTCCAGCCCCATCCCTTGCCTGTGCTGACATCTGGCCTTCAACACTAGTGGTTTGCCTCTCAGGCCTCCCCATATCCTGTCTCCTCAACCTGCCCCCTGAGGCTGGCAGACTGCTTGCTCACCATGTGATGACTACTGTTTTCCAGGAGCTTAGTCCAAACCATCTCTTCCTTCCTCACTCCCTAAAAGGGAATGGCAAGAAACTCAGGAAAGGCAATTAAAGCTAAGTTAGAAAATGGTGACCATTAAAATAAGACTCCGAGTTCAAGTCCGACACCTGCCACTTACTCTCTGTATGACCTTATAGTAGTAATTGAATGGCTCTGCACCTCAGTTTCCTCATCTATAAATTGGGAACAGTAATGACTACCAGAAAGACTGCTGGGGGCTTAAATATGATAATGTATGTAAAATGCATGGAATATAATAGATGTATACAAGTGTTCCTGCCATCTTCATAGTAGGGACCTAGATAGAATATGAACCGCGATGGAGAGAAAGTCAGGACTATCCCAAGAATTTCTGAGCCCCTCTCAAACCTTTGTAAGAATTGGTGTTCTAAAAACCAGCCCCCTCCCACTGCAAGAGGTTCAAATAGCCTTCAGAAAGGAAAAATGGTTCCCCTCTGTTTTCTGGAGCAGGTTGGAATATGCAGATGTTATCGCTAACATCTTACTAGACAAAGGCCCAGCCAGAGCCAAGCTTCAGGGTGGCTCCTACATACAGAGAGAGAGGAGACGGGGTGGGAATTCCAAGCGCCTTGCTCCACAGATCTAGGCCCACACCTTGGGAACTCTTTTGAGCAGAAGCAGCCAGACAGGTTTTCAGCACTAAAGGCTTAAGGGCAATTCAAACTCCAGGCAAGGTTACTGGAGTTCAGGAAGAGCTTTACTTTTTATTGCCTCCTCC